CGAGCCGCTGCAACTCTCTCTCCTCTCTCTCCAACTCCAGCTGCTCCTCACGAGCACGGCGAACACGAGCCTGGAACCTGGTCGGATAGGGGTGGGGGGAAGGAGTAGTGTCCGGGGCAGCGGCAGCCCCAGAGTCGACCTCCGAAGCACCAAGTACACCACCCCCAGAGGCAGCACTCCCAGACCCAGGCTCTCTAGAAACCGAAGGGACACCCTCACCCCCAGACGCAGCACCCCCAGACTCCGCACCAGCACCCCCAGACTCCGCACGACCAGTACCAGCCCCCGGAAGACAAGAGTCCTCTGCAACCCGCGGCTCAGCTCCAACTCCAGCACCCCCAGAACCAGAGACCTGTACAGGGACAGTCGCAGGACCAACCTCCCGAGAGGGAGCACCTGCAGGAGGCGGCGAGGAAGACTGTGGGGAGGGAGGCTGTACAGGGGGGGCTACCGAAGGGGGAGGGCTAGCCTGAGACACACCAGACGGGGCTGGACCAGGGGGGGGAGGCTGTACCGGGGGAGCAGGCGGGGGAGCGGCGGTCAGGAAGAGAGGGGGGGGAGGGACCGGGAGACCTCGACTGGGGTACCTGACGTAGTAGGGGGTGGACTCCTCGAAACGGACGTCACGGGAGTCAAAGAACCGGTGAGAGGGAGGGTGGTAAAAGGTGAAGTCAGAGGAGTCCTCAAGGAAACCAAGGAAGACACAAGGAACGGCGCGAGGCGAGAGCTTGTCCGCGGAGGTGTCGCGGACAAGAGCCAAGCACCCCCAGACACGAAACCTCGACGCGACACCAGGGGACCCTGTCCAAAGACTGGTCGGTGAAGCCTCCGGCCGAGAGACGCGTGGCCAGAGGTTCAGCTGGTGCGCGGCGTACCTGACCGCGTATGGCCACAGGAAATGGGGGGCACGGGCGTGAGTCAAGGAGGTGCGGGCAATCTCCATGACCAGGCCTATGCGACGCTCAGCAACCCCATTCTGCTGTGGGGACTCTGGAAGCGTCCAGGACTGACGAATGCCCTGTTCGCGACAGAATCCAGCGAGAATGCCGGAGCGAAACTCGCCCCCGCGGTCGGAGTGGAGACAGCTGACACGACGACCACGAGTGTCCTGGGTGGTAAGCAACCACCTGATCAGCGTAGAAGTCACCTCAGACTTCCTCGCCAGGGGGAACACTGTGGTGTAGCGGGAGTAGTCGTCAACGACCACCAAAAAGAAACGCTCACGCTCAGGGCCAGGGCGAGGAGAGGGGCCCCAGACGTCCAAGTGCAGCGTCTCAAAAGGCTCGGTGGCCGGACGAAGGGAGGAGGAGTGAGGGGTGGCGCGCAGCCTACCCTCGACGCAAGGACCGCACGGTGGTGCAAGGGACGGCGGCAGCGACGGCAAGACACGCGGGAGACCTAAGACAAGACGCTGACGAGACATAGCGCGAAGACGAGGAGGAGAAGGGTGCCCCAGCCGGTGGTGCCACAAAACGGTGGGGTGGGCAAGCGACCGACAGGAGCACGACGCAGCGACCGGACTAGACGGAGGAACCTGACAAGACACAGCTACCTGGGGGGACGGAGCAACCTGGTGAGACGCGAGGACTCGAACGGGAGGCAAAACAGGGGCCGGGGGCAGGAGGGGCGGCTGTGGCTGCGGCTGCGGCTGCTGCCGCTGCTGCTGCTGCGGCTGCTGCTGCTGCTGCTGCGGCGGCTGCTGCTGCTGCTGCAGTCGCTGCTGAGCGCGCGGGCCAGTGTGAAGAGTGTAGAGACCGGAGCCCGGCTCAGCAGCAAAAGTGGCGAGGGGCTGGTAAGAGTCCCCGTCAACACACACCGCAGTCTCTCCAGAAGGCTCAAACCACACACCCACGTGCTGACTCACGAGGGGTCGCACGCCCACCAAGTTCCGGGAGAACGAGGGGACGTGAAACCCAGTGAGAGACCCAGAAGGAGCAGCCGGACACGGCAAGGTGGTAGTGTGACGCGCGGTGACTGGTCCCGAAGTGGGATCAGCCAGCGCCACAGAAACAGGCGCAGGAAGAGGCGTAAGTGTCGTGCTGTCACGAAAGAAGCAGTGAGAAGCTCCAGAGTCCAGCGTGAACGACAGCGAACCGTCCTCTGAGGTAGCCGCTGGACTAGAGTCTACACAAGAACCTACACTAGCAACAGGCAACTGAGCAAGGCTAGCACCTAAGCTAACAATAGCAGAGTAAGCAGAGTCAGAAACACTAGAGTCAACAACAGCATACATAGCATGGGGAGTACCAATGAGATCAACTAACTGCTCAGCAGACATGCCCCACAGAGCGGAGCCGTAGCGCTGAACAAGAGGCAGCCAGTCAGGGGCAGGAGCACCAACCCCGTAGACCAAACGAACCGTGTCAGTGAGCTGAGCAAAGCACTGACCAGGGGGGTGAAACCGGCCACAAGGGTGGCCACGACGAGGGCCTGTCAGAACCTGGTAGGTGCAGGGAGTGTAAGCAGCACCGCGCTGGGTCTGACGCAGCCCCGACCCTGGAGCCAGCTGCTGCCGCTGCTGCTGCTGAGGCTGCTGGGAGGAGAGGGGCTGCTGGTGCTGCAGAAGCTGCTGCTGACGCTGAGCCTGGTACCACGCCGCTGCTCCACCAACCGGGGCAGGAAGTACAGGAGGCGACTGACGAACTCGGGCGTCGCCACCACCAGCAGGCGCAGTGGAGTCACCAGTCACTGCACGAGGCGCCTCTCCAGGCCCTGAACCTCCACCGCCGCCAGGCGCAACGCCACCTCCACTACCTCCGCCTCCACCTCCACTACCACCACCAGAACCGCCTTTCTTGCCACTCCTACCGCGGGACCGCGACGCAGTCGTAACAGCAGCTGCAGTCGCGTCAGTAGCGGCAGTGGCAAGTGAGGCAGTAAAGGTGGGTAACTGCGGGACTGTGCACCCGTGGAAGAGTGGGGGGGGCACAGCACCAGAGGCAGCGGCTACCGAGCGAAGGTTGCTCTCGACGTCCTTGAGTGCAGACTCAAGGACCTCGACGGTGAGCTCACTAGGGTGCTTCAGCAGAAGCGCGTCGCGAACGGAGGCAAGGCGGTCAGGGAGGCTAGTGGCGATGAAATAGATAGTAATCGCCATAGGGGGAGGAAGCAGTGCAAGCTGTGCCTCAGTGCAAGCAGCGCGGTAACTAGCGTCGAGCGAGCGGAGGTGAGCGATCAAGTCAGCAGAGCGCTCAAAAGACGCTAGGTCAGGAAACAGGAACGGGAGGAACAGGCGGCCAAGAGAGACAGCAGCGGGAGTAGAGTAGCGGGCCTTAATCGCAGTGAGGTACGCAGCAGCGGTGCGAACCTGAGTGAAGTGAACCTCCTCAGACTCAGGGAGGAGGCTGCTGAGCGCGATGCAGGCCGCAGCGTCACGTGACGTCCAAGCCGTCTGGTCAGCTCGCTGAGTGGCAAAGCGGGCTCTAGCGGCGTCGTCAGGGGCAGGTCCTAAAGGCGTAGGGTCGGGGGGCGCAGGTAGGGCACCAGTAGCGTGCGCCCAGAGGGTCTCGCCTGCCTGGACCTGACTCTCTAACAGGCGGCGAGCGCGAAGAAGCCAGACTGGGAAATCGAGCGGGCGACCGTCAGCATCGAAACGAAGGACGCGAGGGGTCGCCATAGTGTGCAAACGGAATTGGCAGGGAAAGCAGGGCGCAGCGGCAAGGGAGAACGGGCAGGAAGAGCGGGCAAGAGCGGGCGGGTAGGTCAGGTGTGGCGGGCGCGCGGGTAGGGCAAAGGCGCCGGGCCTGGGCGACGGGCTAGGGCGCGAGCCAGGGCGACGGGCTAGGGCGCGAGCTGGGGAGACGGGCTGGGGCGCGGGCCAGGGCGACGGATCGACGGGCAGCAGGGGGAAACGCGGGTCGACAGGCAGCGGGGGGAAGCGCGGGTCGACGGGCAGCGGGGGGAAGCGCGGGTCGACGGGCGGCGGGGGAAGCGCGGGTCGACGGGCAGCGGGGGGAAGCGCGGGTCGACGGGCAGCGGGGGGAAGCGCGGGTCGACGGGCAGCGGGGGGAAGCGCGGGTCGACGGGCAGCGGGGGGAAGCGCGGGTCGACGGGCAGCGGGGGGAAGCGCGGGTCGACGGGCAGCGGGGGGAAGCGCGGGTCGACGGGCAGCGGGGGGAAGCGCGGGTCGACGGGCAGCGGGGGGAAGCGCGGGTCGACGGGCAGCGGGGGGAAGCGCGGGTCGACGGGCAGCGGGGGGAAGCGCGGGTCGACGGGCAGCGGGGGGAAGCGCGGTTCGACGGGCAGCGGGGGGGGGGAAGCGCGGTTCGACGGCAGCGGGGGGGAAGCGCGCCTCGACGGGCATCAGGGGGGGAAAGCGCAGCGCGACCGGCAGCGGTACGCTAGATCGGGCTACGCTAGATCGGGAGGAAGAACGAGCGGTAACGAACGAACGGGACTAGATCGGGCCGGCACTAGGCTCGGGCAAGACGGGCGAAACGAGAGCTAGGATCAGGCTCGGGTGGTACGATCGGAGAACGGAGAAACGGGATCCCACAGGATCCTAACCGCTCTGATACCATGTCAGAATGAGGAATGAATGGTGCATTGATGTTGGTTGGGGTACATATAGCTAACCCTAAGTTTTGTACCTCCTAAGACAAACCTCACTATAGGCTACAACATTTGACAATCTCACTATTCGCCAAGTATAATTTCGCTCGAAAGCACAAAGGAAGTAGCATGGCTCGCTTCTCTGTGCTCTTGACTTTCGCGGTTCTCACCGCTTTTATCCTCGCACTTTCCTACTGCTCGCCTGCAGAAGGCCGACTGGTTATCCCGTTAAGAGGTAAGCCGCCAATCGCGTACGTTATGAGTGTATGAAGCTTCTGCGATTTCCTCTTTGACTACTATCGGAAAACCTAGAGTCGGACTTTTCAAGTGCATTTCGCACTTTATGATGCCGGCATAATGTGCATGCTCCTCAAAGCCGTCTTTAATGCCCGAATTATTTATTATTTATATTTCTGCTTTCTGTGCACCTGGCAGGTGATGTGACGACGATGCAGGCTCAGCCTACATTCCCGCGGACGACCGGCGGAATAAGGCGTCTGCTTGATGAGGATAATGATGACGATGATGATGACGATGATGATGATGATGACGATGATGATGACGATGACTATGATGATGACGATGATGATGACGATGACGATGATGACTATGATGATGACGAAGACGACAACGATTATGACGGCAACCGCAGTGATAATAATGGCAAGGACCTCAGCAAATGCGTGGAGGAGTATAAGCGTGCCGTGCAGTGGTGCATGGTGAAACCCTTGAAGGGCGAGTGCGATAAGGAGACTTATAAGGCGTACAAGGAGTGCAAGGGGAAGAACTGATCTTGTAAGGAGGGTAGGTGACATCGCAAGAAGGAGCTGTGCAGTAAGGAATTCAAGGAGGTACGTGGAAGGTAGAGGGCAGCAGAAGGCCGGGGTGTTATATTAGATGCCAGCAGCAAATAAATGGACGGCATATTAGAGTAATGCGGAGCTGTAGATGCCGATGTTCAGAGATGGAGGTCGGCTTCTGTCAAATGATATATATGTGTGATATATATTGGTAGGCTGTAGTGGGGTAGATGTTATAGGGGATAACACTTTAGGGTTGTGTGTCATGTACCAAACTCTCTCGTCAATCGAACCACCTTGCCTAGCTATCTCGACATGGCATCTAGAGCAGGTTCTTAGGACCTAAGTTTAAGGGCCCACCAGTTACTAAGTTACCTCACCAACGGCCTGCCTACCTGCCTTGCCTTTTGGTCTGCCTAGCCTGCTGCCCGCGCGCGCCTCGGCTGCGCGCGCACGCCTTTTTTTTAGCGCGCACTGCTGCTGCCAGCCGCGTCGCGCCCCGTCCGTCGCCCGCGCAGCCCGCCCTGAGCCCGCATAGCTCGCGCGCGGCCCGTCCCTGCCTCGCGCAGCCCGCTAAGGCCCCGCGCAGCCCGTCTGCAGCCCGCGCGTCGCATGTGCTGCTCGCGCGCAGCCCCTTTTCCGCCCCGCGCGTCGCATTTGCTGCCTGCGCGGCCCACTCCAGCGCTGCGCGCTGCACCTACCGTCCGTGCGCGGCCCGCCTAGGCCCTGCACGTCGCGATTGCCTCTCGTACAGCGCATTGCTGCCCCGTGCATTGCGTCCGCCTGTACCTGCCGCCAGGGTTTAGGGTTTACCCTGTCTTTTTCTTGCCTGCCTTGCGCCTCTACCGTCTGCCTTGCGCACCTGCCTGCTACAGTTGCCTGCTGCCTGAACCTGCAGCCTTTGCCTGCTGCCTGAGCCTACTGCCTGAGCCTGCTGCCTGAGCCTGCTGCCTGAGCCTGCTGCCTGAGCCAGCTACTTTTGCCTGCGCTGCAACCATGGCGACCCTTACTGTTCTCGCTTTTGAGCCTGACGGCCGCCCCATCGAGTTTGACACCTGGCTTAGTGATCTGCGACTTTACCTTATGACAGACGGAGTATCACTACTAGCCTATGTCACTGGCACTGTCCCTACTCCAGCTGAGACTGCTCCTGCCCCTGAACGAGCACAGTGGGAGCTCCGCGACGCAGTCGCACGCCTTGTTATTCGCAATCACCTACCGATCTCTGAGCGCGCGCATTTCAACCAGCTTAAGACTGCCAAGACGCTGTATGATGCTGTCGTTGCCCGCTATTCCGCCCCGGCCACAGCCACCGTTGGTAGTCTCATCCTGCCATACCTGTTCCCAGACTTAGCCTCGTTTCACACTGCTGCCGACCTTATCACTCACCTCCGCGCTAGTGACGCCCGCTTTCGAGCCGCTCTTACCGCCGAGTTCCTCGCCACGAACACCCCCCCGCTGTACTTCACCCTCTACATCCTCGTCACCCGCCTCCCTGACACTCTTCGCTCTGTCAGGGATTACTTCCTTGCCAAGGATCCTCCAACTATCACTCTGGACGACTTCGAGCAGCAGCTGGTCGCAGCAGAGAAGAACATCCTCGCTGTCGGTGCTGCTCGTGGCACTCCCCGCACTCCCCTCTTTGAGGGGTGCTCCCCCTCCCCTCTTGACCCCTCCTACGCCTCTGCTGCTACTGCTGTCGACTTCCTCGGTGCGGAGAAGGTCGCAGCGGCTTCCACTCCTGGTGGGAAGCGTGGTGGTGGCAGGAGCGGCAAGGGTGGCAGGGGTGGCGGAGGTGGCGGTGGAGGGAGCGGTGGTGGAGGCGGCGGGGGTGGTGGAGGTGGTGGGGGTGGACGTGGGGGTGGAGGCGGTGGGTGGGGTGGCGGCAGGACCGGGGGCGGTGGAGGCGGCGGCGGCGGTGGTGGGGGAGGAGGCAGCGGCAGTGGCGGTGGAGGTGGGAGTGGGGGTGGATCTGGCCAGAAGGGTGGCCAGCAGCAGCAGCAGCAGCAGCAGCAGCTTCCTCCCCTCACCTCCCAGCAGCTCAATGACTGGTATGCTGGGCGTGGGGCGTCTCGGGGTTCTGACCGCTGCCCCTATGTCATTCGTACTGGCCCCCGCAAGGGTCGCCCCTGCAACGGTTTTCACACTGAGTATCGTTGTTTTGCCAGGCTTAGTGACGCCTGGCGTGCCAAGTATCCTGATGCTACTGAGTTCCCCAACTGGGCCGAGCTGCTTAGGCGTGATGTGCCTATCTTTGATCTGGACTATGATGTTATTCTTGCTGCTATGTATGCATTGACTGTTAGTGCTGAGGGTGACTGCTACTTGTGTGTGCCGCCTGATCCTGGTATTGACCCCGGTATAAGGGCTGCAGCCCTAGGTGCTAGTGAGTCTGCTCCCCGTGGTACTGAGTCGACTCAGGCCTTGCACACGTTTACACTTGACTCTGGTGCTTCCCGCTGTTTCTTTCGCGATAGCACCACCGTCACTCCCCTCCCTGCACCTGTCCCTGTCTCACTGGCTGACCCCTCTGGGGGCCCAGTGCTTGCACGAGCCACGACTGTGCTCTCGTGCCCGGCGGTCCCGTCTGGTGAGCTGTCAGGTCTCCACGTTCCCTCGTTCTCTACGAACCTGGTGAGCAACGCCGTCCTCCAGGATCACTGGGTTGACACCTGGACTCCTGGAGGGCAGCGTGTGGCGATCTGCACGTGCTCCAAGACTGGCCGCCACCTGGCCACGTTCACTCGTGAGCCGGGGTCTAGTCTGTACACCCTCACCACTGTTTCACGCTCCACTCCTTTGTCTCCTCAGCTGTACGCGTCTGCCCAGGTAGCTACCCAGTGTGAGTGCCGCCGCCTGTCGCACGACACGCTTCTGTGGCACCACCGCCTTGGTCACCCCTCCCTTCCTCGCCTTCGTGGCATGCACTCTCGCTCCCTAGTCTCTGGGCTTCCCAGGTCTCTGCCTGCCCTCCCTCCCTCGCCTGCGCTGCCCTGCATTCCCTGCGTCGAGGGGCGGCAGCGCGCCGCTCCTCACTCCTCCTCGTTTCCTCCCACAGAGGCTCCCCTGCAGACGCTCCACCTGGACGTGTGGGGCCCAGCCCGCGTCCAGGGACAGGGCCGTGAGCGGTACTTTTTGCTGGTTGTCGACGACTACACGCGTTACACCACGGTCTTCCCCTTGCGCAGCAAGGGGGACGTCCCTGCTGTTTTGATCCCCTGGATCCGCGCTGTGCGTCTCCAGCTCCGCGAGCGGTTTGAGCGGGACTTCCCTGTCCTGCGTCTGCACTCTAACAGAGGTGGTGAGTTCTCCTCTGACCTCTTGGCAGCCTTCTGTGCGGAGCACGGCATTACCCAGTCGTTCACGCTTCCGGCCTCTCCGCAGCAGAATGGGGTTGCTGAGCGCCGCATTGGCTTAGTCATGGAGGTCGCTCGTACCTCCATGATCCATGCGGCGGCTCCCCATTTTCTGTGGCCGTTCGCGGTCCGGTACGCCGCGCATCAGCTCAACCTCTGGCCCCGTGTCTCCTTGCCGGAGACCTCGCCCACGCTGCTGTGGACGGGGGAGGTTGGCGATGCGTCGCGTTTCCGGGTCTGGGGTGCTCGTGCCTTTGTCCGCGATCTCACCGCGGACAAGCTCTCTGCTCGCGCCGTTCCCTGCGTCTTCCTTGGTTTTCCTCCTGACGCGCCTGGCTGGCAGTTTTACGACCCCACCTCGTGCCGTGTCTTTGCGTCTCAGGACGTCACCTTTGACGAGTCTGTTCCCTTCTACCGTCTCTTTCCCTACCGCACTGCCTCTCGCCCCCCCCCGCCGCTCTTTCTCGCTCCAGGTCCTCCCCAGGTAGACCCCCTCCCCGCGCCAGGTCCTGCTCCTTCAGGTGTTTCTCAGGTAGACCCTCCGGTACCTGCGCCTGTTGAGGTCACTGGTGACTCAGGTCCTGCTGGAGGTGGTCCTGCTCGGGGTGCTGTCTCTGGGGGTGCTGAGCCTGGGGGTGCGGAGCCTGAGCAAGAGGCGCCTAGAATTGCTGAGCCTGGGGGTGCGGAGTCTGGGGGTGCTGTGCCTGCGCGTGAGGAGCCTGGAGGTGCTGAGCTTGGGGGTGTCGAGTCTGAGGGTGCGGAGCCTGCGCGAGAGGAGCCTGGAGGTGCTGAGCCTAGGGGTGCGGAGTCTGGGGGTGCTGTGCCTGCGCGTGAGGAGCCTGGAGGTGCTGAGCTTGGGGGTGCCGAGTCTACGGGTACTGAGCCTACGCGTGAGGAGCCTGGGGGTGCTGGCGCTGAGGGTTCTGAGTCTGCTGTTGCGCGGTCTCCTTGGAGTAGCCGCCTTCGTCCACGTGTGCCTCTCACCTCACAGCAGCTGCAGGACCAGTACGGTCGCCGTCAGGGTCGCACTGCTGGTGCCCGGGGCTCTACTGCTGGAGTCGCTGGTTCCGGAGGTGCTCGTCCTGGGGGTACTGGAGCTGCTGGGGCTTGGGGTGCTGGTTCTGGGGGTGCTGCTGCTGGAGACACTGAGGTTGGAGACCCTGGGACTGGAGGTGTCGGTTCTGGGACTGGAGCTGCTGGAGGTGCTGGAGCTGCTGGAGGTACTGGAGCTGCTGGAGCTGCCGGTACTGGCGCAGCTGCGCCGACACGACTGTTCTTCGCTCCACCGTCTCCGTCGTCTCTGCCGCCGTCTGACTCTGCTCTTCGTCAGGTTCTTACTCTCCCGTCGTCTACTGGTCTTCCGTTACAGCCTGGCTCACCGCTGCCTGCTCCTTCTCCTTACACTGAGCAGACAGGTAGTCCTGCTGAGCGTCGTGAGCCTGCGTCGCGTCCTGTCTCGCCTGCTCGTCCTGGTCGTACCGGTCGTCGTGTTCCTCGCTCGCGTCAGCCGGCTGTCCCCAGCGCACACCTCGTAGTCCGTCGTCCTTCCTCTGCTCCGCAGCCTGTTCCTCTGCCGTCTCCTCCTGCGTCCTCGTTGCCTGACGTTCCGGACCCTGCGTCTGACCGGTTTCGTGCTGAGCACCCTACTGTCACGCGTCTGCTAGCCACAGTTGTCACTGACCCGTCGTTTGAGTCTGCTGCTGCGTCTGCTCTTGTCGCTGAGCTTGTTGACTTTGCTGCTGCCTGTCGTCTAGACTTCACTGCCAGTCTTGTTACTGAGTCTGAGTCTGTCTGTCCTCCGTCCGTCGGGGGTGAGTGTGCTCTTAGCACGGACGTCCTTGAGGACAGGCAAGAGGAGTTCCAGTGTCTTGCTGCTGCTTTACCTCATCTTGTGTCCTCGCTACTTGCCCCTGAGAGAGACCCGGATGCACCAGACATCCCGACTCCGCGCTCTTACGCAGAGGCGATAGAGGGTCCCTACTCCTCTCAGTGGCAGGCAGCCATGGACGCAGAGATGGCTTCCTGGAAGTCCACACGCACCTATGTCGACGAGGTTCCCCCACCTGGGGCGAACATCGTCAGTGGCATGTGGATTTTTAGGGTGAAGCGGCCGCCGGGTTCTCCGCCTGTCTTCAAGGCGCGTTACGTGGCTCGAGGCTTCAGTCAGCGAGAGGGAGTTGACTTCTTCCAGACCTTCTCCCCCACCCTGAAGATGACCACTCTTCGGGTGCTGCTGCATGTTGCTGCTCACCGTGACTACGAGCTTCACTCTCTTGACTTCAGCACAGCTTTCTTGCAGGGCAGCCTGCACGAGGAGATCTGGCTGCGCCGCCCCCCGGGCTTCACTGGGTCGTTCCCTCCTGGCACCCAGTGGAGCCTCCGGCGGCCGGTCTACGGTCTCCGCCAGGCGCCACGTGAGTGGCACGACACACTGAGGACTACGCTTGCGGCTCTTGGGTTTGCGCCTTCTACTGCTGACCCGTCGCTGTTTCTGCGCACCGACACTTCACTGCCGCCGTTCTACATCCTCGTGTACGTCGACGACTTGGTTTTTGCCACTACTGACACTGAGGCTCTCGCCCACGTGAAGTCGGAGCTGCAGAAGAGACACACGTGCACAGACTTGGGTGAGCTGCGCAGCTACCTTGGCTTGCAGATCACCCGGGACAGAGCACGCCGCACCATCACCTTGACTCAGTCACACATGGTGCAGCAGGTCCTTCAGCGCTTCGGTTTCACCTGGTCTTCAGCACAGGCCACTCCTCTGGCTACAGGTCACTCGCTCTCAGCTCCACCTTCGGACGAGTCTGTAGAGCCGAGTGGTCCTTACCCAGAGTTAGTCGGCTGCCTCATGTACCTGATGACTTGCACTCGACCTGACCTCGCGTACCCTCTTGGTCTCCTGGCTCGCTACGTGGCTCCTGGTCGGCACCGACCTGAGCACATGGCTGCTGCTAAGAGGGTACTGCGTTACTTGTGCAGCACATCAGGCATGGGGCTAGTGCTTGGAGGGACGAGCCCAGTTGTCCTCACTGGGCACTCAGACGCTTCTTGGGTTGACGACCTGGCTACTCAGCGGTCATCACAGGGTTACACCTTCAGCCTTGGCTCTGGTTCAGTTTCGTGGCGTTCTACACGCTCGTCTTCAGTTCTCGGCTCCAGTTGTGAGGCTGAGATCTACGCCACAGCCATGGCTGCACAGGAGTTACGCTGGCTCACCTACCTGCTGACTGACTTGGGAGAGCAGCCTCGTTCTCCTCCAGTGCTGTACGTCGACAACAAGGCCGCCATTGCCTTGTGTGAGGAGCACAGACTGGAGCACAGAACGAAGCACATTGCTCTGCGTTACTTCCTGGCTCGAGAGTTGCAGCAGCGAGGCCAGCTTCGTCTTCGTCACGTGGCCACTCGGGCCAACACTGCTGATATATTCACCAAGGCACTTCCGTCTGGTGATCATCAGCGCTTTTGTACCCTGTTAGGCCTTGTGCCTACGCTTCCACACTTGCTGTAGTTTCTGCTTGTACTGTGATCTATATATATATACCTGCATGCTGGCTCTTGCTAGGTAGCCATCACTGTACTGTCATTGCTGCATATATATCTCTGCATGTGAACTGGCCTTGTGGCCATTTGCTTGTGCTCAGAATGTGTGGTGACGTTGTGATCCACCCTGAGCTTGTTTTGCTTCTCTTGACTGGTCTTGTGACCCGTTGCTCTCCCCCACTTTGCCTATGGGGGTGTGTCAAATGATATATATGTGTGATATATATTGGTAGGCTGTAGTGGGGTAGATGTTATAGGGGATAACACTTTAGGGTTGTGTGTCATGTACCAAACTCTCTCGTCAATCGAACCACCTTGCCTAGCTATCTCGACAGCTTCATGCATCAGCTACCGGTAATAATGAAGAACAGAGTCAGTGACTTGTAAGCTGTTATCACTTCATGGATTTCCTGACACGAGTTGAACACACTCTGCTTGTGCTGAAATAGCAATAATGCAGTAATGATTAGTAATGCTGAAGTAATTGCTGATGATCATCTGGCTGGTCAAGCTTTTCTTTTGAGGCTGGAAGCCGCCTCAAGAATATCCCCTATCTCCTCCAGTGACAATCCCTTGGTTTCAGTCACAGAACAGTAGACAAATGCCATGGACATAAAGCACACAAAGCTAAAGAAGAGGTACACCCCACTGACACCAACCACTGATGTTGCCGGAAGGAAGAAGCACCCCACACAAAAGTTGCACACCTGGAAGAAAGAGAGGGGGGGAAAAAAAAAATGTAGGGGGCAACATGAAAAAGCTGAGCAACTCAGATCAACAATGAGAAAACAGCCGGACACAAGGGAAACAAGAGCCAACATACCCAGTGAACAGCCATGCTGCAGGCCACCCCTGCAGCCCGCACTTGCAGGGGGAAAATCTCCGGAAGCAGCAGGCTGGGGATGGGACCCACTCCACACGAGAATGCTGTCACGTACCTGCAGTCACGTAGTGATGGATAGTGAATGATGGAAAAGAGACAAGTTGTATTTCTTCTTTTTGAGTTGACTGAACAGTTCGACGGGGGAACATGGGCAAGCGAGAAGTCTTATCAGTCTTGGGAGCATGTCATGGTGCATAGAAATGCGACACTGTATTTGCAATAATTCTTGCTTGCCTTTCCATGCATCTTTTATATGAACAAATACGGGAACATCAACGAATGTGTGGAGGCAAAGGATAGAGCAAAATGGATGCGTCTATCTCACGTGATTGTGCCAATAATGGAGAGAAGCGGTGCATGGGGTTGTTTTGAGACGTCTCAAAACACTATGTTTATCATGAGACGTCTCAAAACACTACTTTTATCATGAGACGTATCAAAACACTACTTTTATCATGAGACGTCTCAAAACACTACTTTTATTTATCATGAGACGTCTCAAAACGCTACTTTTATCATGAGACGTCTCAAAACACTACTTTTATCGTGAGACGTCTCAAAACACTTCTTATCATGAGACGTCTCAAAACAAAACGGATGCCTCTATCTTACGTGATTGTGCCAATAATGGAGAGAAGTGGCGCATGGGGCTGCAGTAGAGGCCAGGATAGGACAGCCGAGAGGAACAGCATAGAGAATCCCTGGAGCATCGCCATTCATCCACCATAGAGCATCACACGGAGGGGAGGGAGGGAGGGAAGGTGAGAGAAGTGGCGCGTGGGGCTGCAGGAGAGGCCAGGATAGGACAGCCGGGAGGAAAAGCATAGAGCATCCCTGGAGCATCGCCATTGCCATTGATGGATTTGAGGGGAGAAGAACACGGAGAGAATGCGATGGAGAGGAAGGGAGGAAGAGGAAAGGAGGGCGAGGAAAGGAGGAAGAGGAGAGGAGGGCGAGGAAGGGAGGGAGAGGAAAGGAGGGAGAGGAAGGGAGGGAGAGGAAAGGAGGGAGAGGAAGGGAGGGAGAGAGGGGAGGAAGAGAGGGGAGGAAGAGAGGGGGAAATGAAAAGGCCAAAGAAACGATTTGACCCTTTGGTTTGCGCACATGACCTGAGCTTCTGGAATTGATTTAGTGGAGCTATAGCAGCATTTGTCAAAAAGAGGAGCGTTAGACATCATGATTGAAAAGAACGATTGGGGCATTTGTGCACTCGGCACTGCACTGCATTGCAGCGCTCTGAACTGCACCGAACCACACTGTTTTTCCATACCATGCCAAGGAAGGAGAGCAGCAGAAGGGGCTTTCTCCCTGCCGAGTCAACCAGTCGAGCTGCCAGCAGCACAGCTGGTGGGATGGAGGGAAAGATAGAAAGAAGAGGAAAGGAATAAATAAGGAATGAGATAATGAGAGAAATAAGAGGAACGAGAGAAATGAGAGCAACAAGAGGATGAAGGAAAGTACATGGGAGAGACACGGGAGGCGAAGAGGTTGAATTAACAGGAAACGTTAAGCGCGAGTTTTGAACAGCACAAAAAGGGCACAGTGCGAGCAGGAAACAAGCATGCTGGAGGAGGGGAAGCAAGCGAAGAAGAAGGTTGGACACACACGAGAGGGAGTTTTCGAGTCGACCTAGAGATCAGAACAAAGGCGGCGATGCCGGAACAAAACCCAGCAGAGCGGAAGACGTGAGAGGAGAGGCAAATGGGAGAGACATGGGAGGGACTGCCATGGGAGAGACATGGGAGGGACTGCCATGGGAGTGACAGAGACGTGAATAGGAGGAAACCTGACCTGCGAGTTTGAACGAGGCGATCAGCACAGAGGCAGCGATGCCGGAGGAAAATCCAGCAGAGCGGAAGACATGAGAGGAGAAGTAAACCACTGCATTGATGCCTGCGAACTGCTGCAGGGCGAAGAGCGCTGGGCCTAGGAGGAGCACTGGAAGAGGGGGGGAAAGGAGACGTGGTGGGGAAGAGAGAGCCGATTGATGGTTTGAAGTAGTCGACCGCGTTGATGCCTGCCAAGTGCTGCAGGGCGAAGAGCGCTGGGCCTAGGAGCAGCACTGTGGGAAGGGGTGAGGTGGGTGGAAGAAGCATTAAGAGAGGGAGAGGGAGCATGAGGAGAAGGAGACGACTGCGTTGATGCCTGCGAACTGCTGCAGGGCGAAGAGCGTGGGGGCTAGGAAGAGCACTCTGAGAGGGAGGGGGAGGGAAGAAGTGATTCCCAACCCTCCCCCCCACTTCCTCCCGATTCCCCCCACTTCCTCCCCACCCCTCCAATTCCTCACCACCACCTCACCTCCTCCCCACCCTCTCACCTCCTCCCAACCCCCTCACATCCTCCCCTCCTCCTCACCTCGCCGGTATCTTGGATGAAAGAGAGAGGCAGCAAGGGGCGGAGCAGAGCGGCTGCTGGTGAGCAAAGGCGAGTGCAGGGCGGTGCTGCTCATTGCATCAGCATCATGCTTTTGGGCCACTTCAACAGCAGAGAAGCTTCTGGTGGAGTGCAGCGCGGTGCTGCTGGGTGCATGAGCAGCAGAATGCTTCCGCGGCACCTCAACAGCAGAGCAGCTGCTGGTGAGGTGCAGCGCGGTGCTGCTGGGAGCAGCAGCGGACGTGAGTGCAGAGGTAGCAAGTGGGTGTGTCGACAGGAGCTCCTGTAACACCTCTTCTGCCCCCTCCGTTCCTCTCAGGATCACTGCTGCTCGCGCTGCTGCGTGCAGGCTGTGGTGCTGGTGGTTGAGGTGGGGAGGACAGGCAGCGAGCAAGAGGTAACGGGTAGAGAATGGAAGGGTAAGATAAGGGGAGGGAAGACGAGAGGGAGTGACATTTGGTGTATCACCCCTCATTTAATACGAGGACAAGTGTCATCACCCCTTTGGTGGACCATTCGAGATCTGGAGCACAAGTGCCGGCGCCAATACAAGCAGCTAACACTACCAGAAGCAGGCTGGCACAGAGGGTGTTTCAGCCGAACACTGAGAGCAAAGCAAGAGACAGGGAGGGCCCAGAATTGGCTGTACGTCAGGGGCCTAGGGCGCTTGTACCTTGCCAATGTAACTACCAATGTACCTAGTAATATGCCTTTGATTTTGAGTCGACTCAAAAGCGTACCTTGCCAATGTAACTACCAATGTACCTAGTAATATGCCTTTGATTTTGAGTCGACTCAAAAGCGTACCTTGCCAATGTAACTACCAATGTACCTAGTAATATGCCTTTGATTTTGAGTCGACTCAAAAGCGTACCTTGCCAATGTAACTACCAATGTACCTAGTAATATGCCTTTGATTTTGAGTCGACTCAAAAGCGTACCTTGCCAATGTAACTACCAATGTACCTAGAAATATACCTACCTGCAGCAGAAAACGTACCAGCAGCAGCCAGCGGGGAGTCTCTGGTGCGGCCACTGCCATGCCGAGCAGCAAGAGGCAGGGAGGAATAGAGCCCAGAAGAAACATGGGTCGCCACCTGCAGGAAGAGGAGTGCAATGGGGTGAAGAGCGGTAATCTGAGTGCAGCCAGTGGGAGTTCTTTGGTGCTGCCACTGCCATGCCGAGAACCAAGAGGCAGGGAGGAATAGAGCCCAGGAGAAACATGGGTCGCCACCTGCAGGAAGAGGAGCAGGCATAGGAGGTAAGTGCAGTGGAATATAGTTCTGTGAGTGAGCAAGAACCAGTGCAGGGTGGGTCTCTGGTGCTGCCACTGCCATGCCCAGCAGCAAGGCACAGGGCGGCAGAGAGCCCAGCAGAAACATGACACGCCGCCTCCAGCCATAGGAGCAGGGGTAGGAGTGCATTGCGGTGAAATGCGGTTCTGTGAGCAAGAGGTAGGGGGGCACAGGCACACCTGCATCCACATCCCAGCACCATTGCTGCTGGCTGGCTGTACAATAGTCGACCCATCTGTACAACGGAGGCAAGCCAACAGCATCCCAAACATCCAGAGGAAAGCCGCACCAGCTGTGCTGTCACTCCAGAGGCAAGCCGCACCAGCAGGGCGGAGAAGACGCCAACGCTTGCTGAGAGCACTGGGAATGACTGACTTTGGTACGGTGCAATGCGGTACTGAGGGCAAGAGACAGGCATGGTCAATATCACACACATCAGTGTCTCTCACCAGCTGTGGTGCTGCTCCAGAGGCAGTCCGACCAGCAGGGCAGAGAAGACTCCAACGCTGGTGGAGAGCTGAGCTAACGTCCCCCACGTGCCGCGAGATGAGGTGGGGGTTACCTGAAACGGTACGATGGGTGGAGGGACAGAGGGTGGGGTGGGGTAAGCAAGGGAAGATGGGTGGGGGGACCATGGTGGGGTAAGCAAGGGAAGATGGGTGGGGGGACCATGGTGGGGTAAGCAAGGGAAGATGGGTGGGGGGACCATGGTGGGGTAAGAAAGGGAAATAGATCAATACTGCAAATGCAGGCAGAAGAGAAGTGAGCAGTGCATGAAAGAGGGTGTGTATTGTATTTACTGATAACGTATGACAACAGGGAAATTCAATTATTACCTCTGATATGTAGAGAGGAACAGTGCCAGATACGATTCCCAGCCCAACCCCAACCAGAGCTCGGCCAATCACCATCTGCCACGTGGCAGATGCTGCAGCACTGCGCTGCAGAGGGTGGGAGGGGATTGCGTTCTTGAGATCAGTGTGGTTCAATGTGGTTCAATGCAGTACAATGAGGTTCATGAAGCGGGTGAAATAAGAGAGTTAATAGAGAGTGAGTGAGACTAAGTGTGATGGAGGGAATGTGAGCAGAGGAGGGTGGGAGAGGGAGAGACAAACACAAAGAAAGTAATAAATAGCCTAGGGACCCATTCCCCCATCCCTCCCATTCCCCTTTCCTACCCATGCTTTGTCCCCCCAACAACCTCCTCCCCTTTTTCCCTGAAAATTTATCAAAGGAACAAGCAATGGGATCGCCACCACACACCTGAGCAGCGATCCCGCAATGAACGGCAGGGATGCGATCTGAAACGCGCGCCTCCTTCCTGCCACGTCAGCAAGCCACCCACCCAGCGGCGCCCCCACTGCTGCCAGCGCCAATGGGATGCTCACAACTAGTGCTGGATGGATGGATGGTGAACGGAGAGAGTGGGGAAGAAAATGGGAGGAGAGTGGGAAGAGAGAGGGAAGAGTGCGGGAAGAGAGGGGTAAAGTGGGGAGAAAGAGAGAGGAGAGCAGTGAAACAAGGAAGGGAATATGACAGAGAGCTAGGAGAGGAGAGCGGCCAGGTGACTTAGTTACCACCCCCCACCCCCAAGTGGCGCCCCCACTGCTACAAGAGCCAAGGGGATGCTCACAACCATCGATGGGTGGATGGATGGATGGATGGATGGATGTATGGTGGGGGAAGAGAGTGGTGACGAGGAGTAAGAAGAGGAGAAAGTGAGAGGAAAGCAGCGACAGAAGGATAGAGGTATGACAGAGAGAAGGGGGGAGAAGTGGTTGACTTAGCGAGAGGGAGAGGGGCGGTGAGTGGGGGGGGAAAAGGGGACTTTTGAGTCGACTCAAAAGTCAGAAGGGGGGAGAAGTGGTTGACTTAGCGAGAGGGAGAGGGGCGGTCAGTGGGGGGGGGGGGGGAATAACAGGCCAAGAAAAGGAGGGTAGGGTGGTGGATTGGGAAGGGAGGGACAGCCAAAACGGGAGAGGGAACGGGATAGTGCGCTCACATATATGCTAATCACCCACATGCTGCGTCCTACTCACTTACATGCATGCGACTTACTGAAGTGCTCCTTACTTACGCTGCCATGCTGGGTGGGTGGGTTGGTTTAGCTCTGTGAGAAAGAAGGGAATAGACGCATTGAAGCTATTCACCACCATCCTACGAGAACACAGCTGGGCATCCCACACGCTGCCATGCTGACTTTTGAGTCGACTCAAAAGTCACCTCACATCCTACTAAAACACAGCTGAACATCCCACAGGTGAACATCCTACTAAAACACAGCTGAACATCCCACAGCTGAACATCCTACTAAAACACAGCTGAACATCCCACAGCTGAACATCCTACTAAATCACAGCTGAACATCCCACAGCTGAGCATCCTACTAAACCACAGCTGAACATCCCACAGGTGAACATCCTACTAAACCACAGCTGAACATCCCACAGGTGAACATCCTACTAAAACACAGCTGAACATCCCACAGCTGAACATCCCACAGGTGAACATCCCACAGGTGAGCATCCCACAAAAGAGCTACTCCCAGCTTACACGCTGCCATGCTGGTTGCGGGTTGGTGCAGGTCAGCAAGGAGGAAGGGCAGAGACGCGTTGATGACACTGGTGGGAAGCAGGGCAGGGAGGGGATGGGATGGGATGGAAGTGTATGGGAAAAAGACACAGAAGATCAACGCGTCACTGCCCTTCCTCCTTGCTGAGATATGAGATGGGAGGGGATGGGATGGGAGTGTATGGGAAAACTTTTGAGGCGCCTCAAACACTGGTGGGAAGCAGGGCAGGGCAGGGCAGGGCAGGGCAGGGCAGGGCAGGGCAGGGAGGGGATGGGATGGGATGGGAGTGTATGGGAAAAAGAGAGATATGGTGATGACTCTGAAGAGGCACTAGAGGGGGTTGGGATGGGAGTGTATGGGAAAAAGAGAGATATGGTGATGACTCTGAAGAGGCACTAGAGGGGGTTGGGATGGGAGTGTATGGGAAAAAGAGGGATATGGTGATGACTCTGAAGAGGCACTAGAGGGGGTTGGGATGGGAGTGTATGGGAAAAAGAGAGATATGGTGATGACTCTGAAGAGGCACTAGAGGGGGTTGGGATGGGAGTGTATGGGAAAAAGAGAGATATGGTGATGACTCTGAAGAGGCACTAGAGGGGGTTGGGATGGGAGTGTATGGGAAAAAGAGAGATATGGTGATGACTCTGAAGAGGCACTAGAGGGGGTTGGGATGGGAGTGTATGGGAAAAAGAGAGATATGGTGATGACTCTGAAGAGGCACTAGAGGGGGTTGGGATGGGAGTGTATGGGAAAAAGAGAGATATGGTGATGACTCTGAAGAGGCACTAGAGGGGGTTGGGATGGGAGTGTATGGGAAAAAGAGAGATATGGTGATGACTCTGAAGAGGCACTAGAGGGGGTTGGGATGGGAGTGTATGGGAAAAAGAGAGATATGGTGATGACTCTGAAGAGGCACTAGAGGGGGTTGGGATGGGAGTGTATGGGAAAAAGAGAGATATGGTGATGACTCTGAAGAGGCACTAGAGGGGGTTGGGATGGGAGTGTATGGGAAAAAGAGAGATATGGTGATGACTCTGAAGAGGCACTAGAGGGGGTTGGGATGGGAGTGTATGGGAAAAAGAGAGATATGGTGATGACTCTGAAGAGGCACTAGAGGGGGTTGGGATGGGATGGGATGGGATGGGATGGGATGGGATGGGATGGGATGGGATGGTACAGAGGAGTGCGGTACATTGAGGTGCAGAGCGGTGGAGATGACAAGGGCATTGTGAAGTGATGTGTTCCTTGCGAAGCATGGACATCCCTTTTGGATTTCAAAATGTGGATGAAACTTCAGGTTTGCCACAAAGAAAATAATGCAAAGAGAGAAAAAAAAAAACCTGCAAATAAATACTGTCACGATGCCGTACCTGACATGGTAACCGAAGGAGAGACCCCCACAACAGGCGAAGAGAACAGGCAGCGCCACGCCCACCCCTCCGTACCGCCCCTTCCCCACTGCTCTCTTCCCCAACCCATAACTCCCTCCTCCTAACACTCGGCCCCAAAGCACGGCTTTTGAGTCTTTCCTCGCACAGAGAAACGGATGTTCAGCTGCTGCTGGCTCAACCATGCCTAACCATGGATGGCTCGAGTCTTTCAATGCACATGGAAACGGTTCTGTAGCCGCTGCTGATGGTGCTGCTGGTGGTGATGCTGTCGGTGCAGGAGCAGGAGAGTCTTGAAGGAGAGTCAACGGGAGGGTTTCAGGAGGTCGAGGGTGTGTGAGTGGGGTGGGCGATAGGGGCGTGTTGTGTGGAGGCAAGGGGAGCGAGGCCGCGAGAATGAGCTTGTGGAAGGGACGGTCCTCCTCAGGGATTGACTCTTCATTGCCATTGGCTGCCATCCATCCATGCACCCATTATGCAGCCATCCATGCACCCATTATGCAACCATCATGCACCCATCCATGAACCCAATCATGAACACATGAACCCATTTCTTCCATCATCCATCCAATCTCCGACTATGCATCCATGCACTCATGCATCCAAGAGAACACACGTGCACTCATGCACTCATTAAAACCGGGGTACACATTCAGAAATTGCGGGGGATGGGGAACAAAAATTTGGGGGTTGGGGCGAAATCTGGCCGTCATGTGGGCATTAAAAGTTAACCCTGATGCCCACCCAGGTGAATGTGCACCCCGGTTTTAAGCGAGAATGTTCATGAAACTCGCAAGGATCGCATGCCAGAAAACTACATGTTTCGGATTAGGAATAACTACGGGCTAATCAAGCAGACTTTGCCAGAATTAAATCGTCGTCGCCGGGCTCGTACCTCCTTCCATTCCAATCGAATGGCTAATGGTTGTCGTTCTCTGCCTGGCAGCCACTGCAAATTCTCGACTGCTGCTGGTCGAAGCACTTGCCGCTTTATCGATGCTGCTTCCAGCGAGTACATCCCGAAGTTTGCCATGTCTCATGCTTCAGTCACAATCCCCTCTCAACGGTCTCCCTTTTCTGCGATAACCCTAATCTCAAACAAGGTCGCCCACACGAGTGTTTCCTTGCGGCTCCGTTATGCTCGAGTTTTAAAGGCACGGATTCGGGCTCACGTCAAACAAAGAACTGCGAATTTATGAACTCGGTTGTCCGTTGAAATGAGATACTGAATATCAAGCGGACTATGGAATTCGAGCCCGCACATCCCGGGAAAATGGACTCTATGAAAGTGAGCAGGAGATGTAAGTCCTCACTGCAGTCAGTCGCACTCCAGTATATTCGTTGTACGTGTACACCTCTCACTTTCTTCTGAAGCGTATTATTATTCGGATGTGGCTTGCCCAGAAACAAATCTAGTTTCATTTCAAATGTTTCTCGACCCTGATGCCCAGCTCAGAGCCACGGTGTCTTTTTCAGCTTGATGTCATTCACACATCAGCAGATTTGGGGAGCTGAGTGAGCAATAACAGGGTGCCGTGCCACGTGGGCCATCGCAACACGTAACCGACGCACGTGATGTACTCTCTTGCTGGTTTTCCCATTTTCATATTCCGACATTCCCTTCCGAAATACAGACGATTGGAAACCCTAGGGCTTGAAACATCCAAGCAGGTGACTTCTAAAAGAAATTTTGTGCGGGGCTGGTCAGACCCTAGGTGCAGCCATTTTCAGCGGGCAGGTGGACGAGAATGCAGTGCCACTGTAGTGTTGTAACTACCACCGTACTGTACCGCAACCACCACTCTGCATTTTTCTAGAGTCCCAGTGGGGCAGTTCATTCGCAGCCTAAATATTCCAGCCACGCAAGCAAAACGCTCACGAAATATCCATCTCGTCACCCCAACCACGCAAGCAAAACGGTCACGACGAAATATCCACCCCATCGCTGAATCATTCCCATCCACAATATCCACCCCATCGCTGAATCATTCCCATCCACAAGATCCTTGCTTTCGCAAGTCAATGCATCACATTCACATCCTCCCGTCACAACTTGCACCCTGAACCCCCCCCGTCTGCTCCACCGTCACCTCCTCCTCTGCCCCACCGCCGTCCAATGAATGTACTGTATACCCAACGTAACTGCCACCGACCCCTACAAACCTTTCAAAGAGCCTCCTAACCGATCTCCTTGCCCTCCGCCTCGTCTGGCATTTGCCTCTTGCGCACGCACGCATCTCTACATTCCATTTCATTCCGCCCAGTTGCCCACTCTCTCATTGCCGCTGGACACATCTCATGCGAGTCCGTTATTCATTCCTCCTGAACTCGCCCACAGCAGGGCTATTGCTAGGATTTTTGCTAGCTCGGACGATCCGGGCCCCTGTGAAAAAGACCCTGTAAAATCCGAGCCAGCGGGAAAAAAACCTTGACGAATCCGGGTTCGAGCCAGAAAAGGCCTGAAAACATGCATTACCAGAATTTCGCGGGAAACTCACAGTGGGTTGCGCGAGGGCTGGGGAGATTGGAGATGGAGTGGCTCTGGAGGGGTGAGCGAGATACTTTTTGTAGACTTAGAAAAAAATACGATGAGGAAGAGTACATCGGGAGAACAGGGCAATCAGACACTCTCTCCTTATTGGCCTTCTAAGCCATGTCGACGTAGAACGGGGCAATCAGACACATGGAGGCCAACAAGGAGAGAGTGGTTAGGAAATTCACTAAAATTGGCCCAACGTGTGTTTAGAGGGAGACCGAGAGGAATGCAAGGCAGGTCGGGGAGAACATGTCTGCTAAAATTATACGGGTCCCCTTGAGAACTCCCCGGAGAGATCCGAGCTGACTCAAAAATCACCCTTCAGTTTTACGGGCTGGTCCGGAAAAAACCTTGTGAAAATCAGGGCTCCTAGAAAAAACACCCTATAATTTCAGTCAAAACAGGGTAATTGCCCTGATAACTTAGGCCCTGGCCCACAGCCAGATTCCACTTGCGAAACTATCAAGCAGCACTTGCGTCTTCACGCACGAGTCGGGCATGCTTGTACCCAGAGGATTCAGCAAGTCTTCTCATGTGGGAAAGAAAGACGCGAAGGGGGACTTTTCACGAGATGAAACGCTTGTTTTCCCCTCCAATATCCAGATTCCACTTGCGAAACCAGCAGGCAGCAAGCAGTGACACTTCCGTCTTGACCCCTCCGTCCATTGTACATCACAGGCACGCTTGCGTCCAGACGATCCTGTAAGTCTTTTCGTGTGGAATAGGAGTCACAACACAACAAGAAGACGGGGCCAGTTGCATCCATTGCCTAGCACGAGTTTTGGTCGAGTTGGAACCGGAAGCAGCGGATGTACGGAGCTGGAAACTTTTCAAAACCATTTGAAATGGCTCAGCGCGATTGCCTGTGGCAGTCACAGCTGCCACTGGTCTGCCGCTCAGACAACCATGAGATCAAGATCAGCAGGCGAGACTCATTGAAGTCTTCAGATGAAACTGTTCCTCCACTGTTTGCTCGTCCTTGCTCCGCCGTCTCTTCACCGTTTAGTCAGCGAGAATTGCGCGAAAAACAAACGCTGCGCGAATGCGGGAGTCAACTGTCAGATGCCTCGTCAACATAGCTCGATTCGCTAAAAAAAAATCTCTCAGCAGCAGAACCACCCGCTAATCACCTCCCGTCTGCCTGACCCTAGGAAACGTGTGATGCGCAGCGAGAGCTGATTCTTGTGGTAGCAGTCAACCAATCCGAATGATCCCGTCAACCAGGTCAATCCATGCCACCGACTGGCAGTAGACAGCACAGCAACGCAGCACGCGACGCATTCCTTCTTTTGCGACGATGAGCATGAAAGGCATTTTTTATTTAGCGAGGAGAATCACACGACATAGCTTGACGGAATTCTTCCCTCATAGTATTCTCCAGTGAACCGGCGGTACCGCAGAGAGAGGGTTGCTAGCAGTATTAGTACTGAGGTACTTCTGGTGCTATGACCTGACGTCGTGCTCTTGTCGCGTTTGCTTCCCCGTACTTTCGATACAAGTCAGCAGATCGCGGTTCCTGGATTGAGATTCCATCGCAATGTATCTGTGATGAATCTGCTGAACTACTGATACCTCCAGTACATGCTGCGTAGTAGAGTACATCACAAGAAGTCAGAGATCAGAAACCGTCAGTCGTCAGTCTATACTATGCATGGAGCCGTCTCGCGGCGACTTACGGCTCGCGCTCCGCTCCGATCTCCGCCTTCGCCGCTCCGGCCGCTTGGCGGAGCGTCAGCACACCGTCAAAATTTTGGGTCGGGCTTACGGGCAGCTCAAGAAGCACTATCAGTTGGGGCCACAGCTCGGTTGCGGCGCGACGGGCTCGACGTATCTCACCCAGTGCTTGCGGCCCGGGCAGCATTACGGGCAGCTGTTCGCGTGCAAGTCGATCGAAAAAGCGCGGCTCGCAGAACCGGAAGATGTGGAGGCGGTTCGGAGGGAAGTGGCGGCAATGCAGGTGCTACAGGGCGCGCCGCAGGTGGTGCAGCTGCACGACGTTATCGAGGACGAGCAAGTACGGCTGGTGCTTTCAATGCTATAAGTTGTCGCCAACGTTATTCGCGATTTTTCGCCTACCTCTCCGTTTTCCATTTTTCACTTTCCCTCTCCCACCTCCCGCGGAACCCTGCGAATTCGCCACATTGCAGGCCGTCCACGTCATCACGGAGCTATGCGAAGGAGGCGACCTGTTTAATCTCCTTCTGATCAACGGCCGATTCCCGGAGCGCACGGCGTCGCACGTGGTTAAGACGGTCGCGGAGGCGCTCGTTGCCTTTGAGCGCGTCGGTCTTGTGCATAGAGACTTGAAGCTGGAAAATATCTTCGTTTCCGAGATCGTTAGTGCGGAAGTCACATTTTCCGCGAAAAACCGCGACGACAGATCTGGCGACTGCTCTCACGGCGACGCTTCTCCTAGCGATCTTTCCGTTGACACTCACAGCGCTTCAGACTGCGGCCTGAAACGTCTCGACTCTCGAGGCGCCTGCGCTGGCGCTGGTGATGGCGGCTTGGCTAGTGATACTACCAGCGGTACCAGCAGCTCGTGCGCAAGCCCTAGCAGCCATAACAATCATCTTTCGAGTCGTACTGCTAAACATGACAACAGAAGGAGTGGCAGCTTCGGCAGCAGCGGCAACAGCAGCAGCAGTGGCGGCGGCGCCAGCGGCAAAACCGCCGCTAATCACGCTCAACTCAGCAGCTTCGGAATAAATGATTCGTCGACCAATAGCAGCTCCAGCGCCTGTAACGGCGGTAGTTGCGACATTTGCTGTTTCTGTCGCCCGACTTGCGTCGCGAATAATGGTAACGGCCCTTCGCCTGCCGACCTCGCTGGACCGTTGCTTGGCAACCGCAGCGTGCCTCCGAAATCCACAGTTGCGACGGCTGCGAATAAGGTTGAGGTGTCCGGTGGCGAGAAGCGGCGAAGTGCAACACCTATCCGCGTTCGCGTTGGCGATTTTGGGGTGTCCGCGTTCGTAAAGCCTGGCGAAAAGCTTCATTCGGTAACAGGGAGTCCGTATTACGTAGCTCCCGAGGTTCTGCAAAATAGCTACGGACCTGAAGCAGACGTCTGGAGTCTAGGGATTGTCGCGTACATGTTGCTGTGCGGTTACCCGCCTTTCTTTGCCGACGAATCTGATGCCATTTTTGAAAAAGTCAGGGGAGATGGAGATGCTGACGTGTCACATGGTCCGTGGAGATTGATTTCCGGGCAGGCGAAGAATCTTGTGGCAAGGCTACTGGACAGAGATACTGCGAAACGGATAAGGCCATCTGAAATCCTCGGTAAGTCCTTCAAACCGTTATTGTCAGCATTCACCTGGTAACCTGTTTATGCTGTCCCTTTTATTTCAAAGGCTCCTAACCAGACTTAATACTTTTTGCCCCTACCATTCAATTCTTCCAGAGCACCCATGGGTGGTAAGGTATACATCAGCAGCAACACATTCAACTGCAGCACATTCAGCAAAGATGGCGGCAGGAACTGCAGAAGGAGCCGCATCAGCAGCTGCTGCAGCAGCAGTTGTTCCTGTTCCCCATAGACACCCCATCAAGCCCCCTAATCCACTCTCCATCCAGCTGACCACTCACCACTTGCCACATGATTCGCCACGTCAGCGTTCTGTAATCTCGCCAAGCCACAAGCCTGCTAAATCGCAGCATCTGCAGTTCTGCACGTCACCACGCCAGAACCACTTCAGCATGCCACGTCATCAGTTTCAGGGGCCAGTAGATCTTTCCCAACCCTCTGTCAACGTCCACCGCCCCTCGGCTAACTCTCTTCGTCCTTCGGTCAACCCTTTCCGAGCTTCAGTCCACTCTCCCCGCGGCTCAGTCGACTCTCCTCAAGCCTCAGTCAACTCTCCCCGTGCCTCAGTCAACTCCCCACGTGCCTCAGTCAACTCCCCCCGTGCCTCAGTCAACTCCCCCCGTGCCTCAGTCAACTCCACCCGTGCCTCAGTCAACTCCCCTCGTGCCTCAGTCAACTCCCCCCGCGCCTCAGTTAGCTCTCAGCGGGCCTCAATCAACTCCTCTCACCCTTCAGTGAACTCCCCGCGAGCCTCTGTCAACTCTTTTCGAGTCTGGGTCAACTCCCCCCAAGCCTCAGTCAACTCTCCCCAGGCCTCACTAAACTCCCCCCCCTCTTCAGTCAACAGCTCTCGCCCTTCAGTAAACCCCCCCCGCCTTTTAGACAACCCAAAAACAGGGAGGGTAAACTGTAATGGAGGAGGAAATAAGAAAGGAGGGGGGGAAAAGCGAGGCGGGTGGAATAAGGGAAACCACACTAAAGACGATACTCTGAGCCCTAAGGTTGATGCACAGACTGATTTGCAGTCTGATTCGAAAGCCGACGTATTTACTGACGCAACCATAAGGGCAGCAGCAGCAGCAGCAGCAACAGCGGCAGCATTAGTAGGAAGATTAGGAGCAGCAGCAGCAGCAACAGCAGGAGAAAAAGCAGGGGCAGCAGGGAGGGCAGGATCAGCAGAAGCAGGGAGAGCAGGGAGGGCAGGAGCAGCAGCAGCGGCAGCAGCAGCAGGCGCAGGAGCAGCAGGGAGAGCAGGAGCAGGAGCAGGAACGGCTGCCAGGGCAGGAGCAGGAGCAACAGTTGCAGGAGGACCACCAGGGAGGGAAGCAGCAGGAGTAGCAGCAGCAGCAGAAGCCCCTCCCCCTCGGCCATTCCTCAGGTCTGCTTCCGACAGAACTGCCACGCAATCCCCCTTTCAGAATAGCTGCCGCTCAAGAGGCTTCCGCAAAGCAGCTTCCACGCCTGCAGAAAGAATCCTCCATGAATCTGGGGCGCATCCCGACCCTCCAAAGTTGTCACTGGAATCGACACCAGAGTCGACTCAAGAGCTCGTCATGCCTGCAGCTAGCGCTCAAGAGGACCGGCCAATAGCCACCACGAATTCCATTCTGGAACAGCCTCAACGACCCTCCTTGAGTTCACACTTAAATTCGCACTTGAAGCCGCACATGCCTTCCAAATTGCCCGAACCAAAATGTTGCTCTGCAGTGGAAGCTGGCAGTATTCCCACTGTGAAGCCTCCTATCGAGTCGCCTCAAAATGCAGGTGTTCAGAAGAACAGGAAGGCTCGCACATGCATCTTAATCTCCTCTGCTTCATCCATTTCATCGCCTAACCGCACACAAGCAGAGTCCACTACTCGGCAGACTGGGACCGTCAATACCAACCAGAGTGCACCCAGGTCTACCCTGACTAATAGCAAGGTGGCAACCAAACCACCCAAGACCCATCTGTACCACGCACAGGCCTCATCGCTGGAGCACTTAGCAGTGCCCTCCGGAAGGCTTGCAGAAAAGTCTCTTTCTGCTGCAAGGGGAAAGGAGTCTGCTGAGCATTTGGTGCCTGCTTCTACTGATGTTGCAGCTGATACAGTTGCGGCTGATACAGTTGCAGCTGATACTGTTCATGTTGCTGCTGCTGCTGCAACTGCTGCCAACCATGCTGCCTGTGCTTCTGATGGTGGCTTCCTTTCAAGCACATTCCCCGCAAGGCATCATGGGCATCATGGTTCTCCTTCCCTGCACTCCAAGCCGGTTGCTCGCAGCTCTTCCCTCGCCTCCCTTCCTCCTGTATTTTCAGTTTCTCCATGCCACTCCCGCAGCAGCTCCAGATGCAGTCTTGAATTAGAGTCTTCTGACTTTCATACGTTATCCAGCATAATTGCTACCTGATATTGTTAACAAGTAACGCCTCAATTTCTGTTTTTTTTTTTTTTTATGTGCTAGAAGCAACTGTTATTGTTTGGCATGAGGGATTTTTACGTAATAGGGGAGCCAGTCCGTTTTGGAAAGATTGACAGTGAATCTTTTCGCTTAGCAAGTTCCGTACCATACCCGCTATGAGACGTCAGAACCGACCGATCCCTTTCAACCGATCGATCTCTTTCAAGTTGCGAGGCGAGCCCGCGGCAGAGCAAGAATCAAATTTCACTTTCCAACTTCTCACCATGGGCATCCCCGTTAGAGAGCACCGCGACTTTGCGACAACGCCTCCACCGCATTGCGAGGCAGTGCCACACATTTGGTCTCGCTTCGTCGACGCTTTCGTTGATTTCGCCGTCGGGGGCCACGTGCTCGCGGGGCGTGCGAAAGATTCGCCACGCTGGACTCAGCCTGTCCAATCTGGAGCTTTTGACCCTGCCACTGACCAATCAGGATCTTCAAATGTCGACAGAGCCGCAAAACCCGAGATTTTGGAGTCATCTGTGACCAGGGACCGGGAGACGAATTCCGTCAATCAGGCGGATTCCGTCAGTCCAGGAGACACCGACGGGCCGCCTCCGTTAGCGACGGTGCTTCCGGCCGCAGATCGCGTGGTGGCGATCGGCGATATTCACGGCGACATCTCCAAGGCGAGGCAGGCGCTTCGCACGGCAGGGCTGATCGACGGCCAGGATCGCTGGACGGGAAAATCAACGGTTCTGGTGCAGGTTGGGGATCTGCTAGATCGGGGAGGGCAGGAACTAGCCGTTGTCTACCTTTTTGAGAAATTAAGGCGGGAAGCGAGACAGGCTGGAGGCGCGGTGCACGTGTTACTTGGTAACCACGAGACGGGGAATTTCGAGGGCTGGTTTCGTTACTCAACCAGAGAGGGCAGGAGAGATTTTCAGAGATGGGCAGCTTGGGAGAGGCTGGGGGTTGGTTTTCGGGCAGCTTGTGAAGGAGGTAGGGTTTCTCCCGACCCTCTAGCTTCTGTTTCCGAACGTGTGCGGCCGGAGCTTCGTGCACGAATGGCAGCATTATCTCCGGGCAGCCCGCTCCTGCAGCGTTTTTTTGCGGGCAACCCAAGCGTACTTCGGCTGGGCAGTACAGTTTTTGTGCATGGGGGTTTGCTGCCCGAGCACGTGCAGTACGGTCTAGAGCGGATCAACCGGGAGGGGCAGGAATGGATACTTTCACCTGCCCGACGACCGGACGGGCTGCCCGAACGCGGGCCACATTTTTTCCACACGAAAAACGCAGTCGTGTGGGTGCGAGAATACTCCCATACAGACCCTTCGATCTGCGATTGCAGGCTGCTGGAACGGACACTCGAGATGCTTCCAGGCTCGATGCGAATGGTTATGGGCCACACGATTCAGCAGCCGGGCGGGATCAATGCTACTTGTAAAGGGAAGGCTATTAGAGTGGATGTGGGGATGTCGGAGGGGTGCGGAGGGGCAGAAGCGGAGATTTTGGAGATTCGGAAGGATAGAGAGGTGTGGGTGGTGCGGGCAGCAGAAGAAGCTGCTGGGAAGCCTCCTAAAGCGCATGTTCTGGCTGGGACTGAAGTGCCTGCGGATAAGCATGGGTTTTGGGAGAAGCTGAGGGAAGCAATGGGAACAAGAGTGGCGTAAAGGAAAGAAACAGTTGGTTTGCCTGCTGTGCATTGGGGCGTGAGGGCAGCAGAGGAAACAGCTGGGGCAGCAGAGGAGGCACCTAGGCCAGCACAGGAAGCCGTGGGGGGGACTCTGCTAAAGAACTTGTTCTGGTCGGCTCTGCTTGCAGTTCCTGTGGATAAGCATGGGGTTTCGGGAAGCTGGGGGAGGCAATAGGAACAAGTGTGGCACGATGGAGGGAAATGGTTAGCTTGCTGTGCAATTGTGTGGTTGAAGCAGTGGAGGAAGAAGCAAGCAAGCTTGCCGAAGGGATGCATGAAGTGGTTCGGACTTCAGTGCCTTAATGGGTTGTGAAGGAAGCAGTGGGAACATTTTTTGGCGTGATGTGCATGGTGTTCGGTACGGTATAAGTTAGAAAAAGAGACATGTTGTTATCCTGCTGGAGTTGCACATGTATGGGTGATGAAACATTCTGGGCAAACCTACTATTCAGAATGATTCGAGTGTAACTACACTTTGTCGTACAGCTTTCCACACACTCAGCTGTGGCACCCACAAAGCTGTGATACCCACACAAACTGGTTACACTCCATTTCCACTAAAGCCACTTGCACGCTGCCTCCTGTTGCTGCTAGACTGGCTGCTCTGGCTAGGTTGGCTAGCTTGACTAGCTTGACTGGTGGTTCCATTTGTTCCACTCGCACTCCTCGTGCTCCCACTTGCGGTCCCACTCGCTCCTCCTCCTGTCCCACTTGACATAGTAGCTGCCGCATCCCCTCCGTTTCCTCTCAACAAATTCAGCAGCTGTGTCATTGTTGCGAAAAATAGGTCAGATTGGAAATCCGGGTCGAAAAACGAGGTCAGGGATAAACCTCCCCCAGAAGAGCCTCCCGCGCTGTTGGGGGTGCCGCTGCCTAGCTGGATTGGCATGGGGACAGCTGGATCTGATGCTGACGTGGCAGCTTGAACAAGCGTGTTCACGATTTGGCTTTGGATATAGGCAGCAGGAGGCGGGGGGGACAATGGAGGAAGAGAAGGAGAGCGTGGGGAAACAGCGGGGGAGACAGTGCGAGGAAGGGAGGGTGGGATTGTGGGAGCGAGGGAGCTGTTAGATTGGACGGAAACAGTTGCTGCGGGCGAGACAGTGCGTGGTGGGGTCGGCGTTGTGTTTGAAGGGTTTGACGCATTGCAAGAACCTGCAGAGATGCGGAACGGATGAAATGAATGAGGGACGAGAAAACAGAAACCGTCGGTTCCGATGACGAGCAAGGAAGAAAGTGAGTAGAATACGTACTGGCCAGTGTAATCAGCAGAGCGCAGAGGATCAATACTCGCTGGGCAGCACGCGCACTAAGGAAGACTTTTCCAGCCATAGTCGACGAAGTGCTTCTTGAGAAACTCAGAGGGGCGCTGGGGAGGTGCTGCAGGCTTCAGAGGGGTGCTGAGGCCTCTTGGTATCCCTGGGCCTACTTCAAGTTATAAAAAATACCGAGCAATCGGAATGACGCGTTCGTCTGCTGACGCCGATAGAACCTGCACAGCCAGAATGGCAGATAAATATGTTTCCTGACGGCTTGAAAGGGCATGAAAGTGGAAACTGTAGGTTGTTTTTCGGAAACAGGAGGTCAAGGAAGCAGGTCGCTGTCGCTGTCACTGCCTGTCACGAAACGTCAATGATTCTCATGCTAGGGTTACTGCCGGCTGACAGCTACTAAGTCTCCTTGTCGCTTTCTGCGTCTCTTGCGACAGTGCACGCCGGACGGCGAAACCGAGAGCCGAGAATTCACGACGGAGTTCATTGGTGCTGATTTGATGTGCCTGCCGTTTGTTGTCGACCGCTGGAAGACGACGTAAATTCTGTGTTCGCACATTCGACGAAAACCGTCCCCTTGCGACGGCGACAGAGCCCTCCAAAACCCATTTGTTGAATTTGAGCCGTCAGTCACCATCCGAGCCATCAAGAGAATGACATTCCAAAATTTCAGGCCGTGCCTTGGAATTATCGACAACGGACAGTCCAGCCTCCTAGCACAACTGCTCAGGTTCAGGCTGCTTGTCACGTCTTGAAGTCGCCGAGAGACGTTGACTGTCGCAGAACAGACAGCAAATTCCGTTTGATTCATCACAACTATTATGCAGCTTCTTCTAGCATGATCGCGACGCGCAGTGTGACGAGCACCAGCAAACAGAGTCGTAGAGAACTAGGATGTGACAGGAGCCATGGAAGGGTGATGCGGTTCGGATCATGGTGTTTGCTTTGCAGTGCCATGCCATGCCTTGACGCAGTACGGGCTTCGGCACCAGTAATTTGGCTGTCTTGGCTCATGCATGCTCGCTATCACTTCACGTGCCACAGTTCGGTTTGTTACGTTGCATTGCGTTCGAAAACGGCACCGAGGGGAACACTTCTGTTTTCTCAAGGCAGGAGAAGGCAGGAGAGGAGCATCACAATCCCTGAATACAGCTCGGTTTACTTTATTAGTTACCAGTAACCACACCATTAGGTATTTTCTTACTCCTCGTCCTACAGTTCTTGACAACTGCAGAGAAACTGAGAAAGCATGCTGTAATCTCATAGATTTGTAGCATCCTCAAAAGCAAATCTATTGGACGAAGGCAATCCACTATGTTCAGAACTTTTGCACAAAGAATGAAGCGCGTGTTCAGCAGCCTTATAATGCATTTTCTTTCTGAGCACGACTCCTCCTGCTGGCCAGGCTACTCAAACTCGCCCTGCTGGCTCTACTGTGCCTGCTATACTCACTAGCTCTTACACCCGCACTTACACCACCAGAAACTGAATTACCCCCCACAACCACAACACCTCCACCAGCACCACCACCATTCGCCAAGATGTTCCCGATCTGAGGCAGATTCACATTGCCAAAACGAACACCAGGCATGCTAACCAGCCCGCTCAATGTTGGATCATTCAGCAAGACCGCTATCAGCTCTAGTGCAAGCTGATAAACAGCTTCTGCGGAGGTGGGGGTGGTGGAGGTGGAAGAGGTGGTGGAGGTGGCAGGAATGCTGGATGAGGGAGTGTTAGGAGGTGTGGACGTTGTAGCAATTCCGTTGTTCAAGACGCGGCGATGCTGTTGTTGGTAACCTTGTTGTGCAGTTTCAGCGACGGAATCAAATGAACCGCTGGTTTTCCAGCCTGAAACATTTGACACTGCATAGCAAAGATGGAAAAAGGGGTTGCGGAGAAGTGAGACAACGGCCTATGAGACAGGTTAACGCTGGTGTAACAGCCAAGAGGAGGGAAATATTAGAAGGGGATAAGAGATGAGTGAATTGGAAGGAGAAGAGTGAATCGGAAAGAAGAGGGACCAAAAACAATTGAGGAGAGTCCCATACCTGAAAGCAGGATCAGAAGGCAGCAGATAAAGAGGCGCATCAGCAACGCCATGGCCACGTGAGCACTTTAGGAACTTAAGTCAGTTTCGTCAATTGCTCTCTGAATTGCAAGAGCTGTACAATGCAGTAGCAAACCCGGAGAATATACGGTAGAAAATGTGAAAGACGCATGTGTGTCTCTTCTACCGAGCACATTTATATGAAACAACAACACAGCAACATGAGCATCTGGGAGTATGTTTGTCCTTTCCAGAGCCCACCTGCACTGGTTCCCACGAACTGTGACAGACACTGACAGGTGGGTGAAGGGCCAAACCTTTCCACATCCTCATACGCTTTCGCATCTGCCCCCATCCACATCCACATCGGAAGTGTCCACACCGCACGATTCAAAACGACATATTCGCGCATCTGTCCCGTCAACAGTCGCACCTAAGCCGCCGGCGCTCCATGGTTGAAAAAAAAAAAACCCGAAGGCGCAGGAAGGATAGCTTCCATGGTGGGAGGGTCGTGCTCTGAAAAAACGCAGCTTCCGGATCCCGACGCTATGACTGGCAGGCTCGGATCCATCGTCGTGCTTTGCACGCGTTACAAGCAGACGATGGTCCTTGAACAAGTGGCACTATTAGTTTCGAGCTGGAAAGTGACATTCCGACAGTGACCCAAATTTAATCGGTCGCTACGAGGCGTGGCAGACACATGGCAGACGTCGTATCGAGAAAATCAACCCTAATCGTACGCTTCGCATGTCTCTAATCCCAACGACGATGCCAAGAGCCTCCATCAGGTCCCTACTCTCACCGTGCTTTCTGGCTGTTGATCTGTTACTACAGGTCAGTGATGTGACCAGCCTTGGTTAGGGCGTGTGTCTTTTGAATTTTAGGCCTAAGTTCATGTTTTAAACTCGAATTTTTACGTTCGAACTGAGATTGACCTGCACTCGAGAATCTCAATGTTTGGGCCCGAATCGCGAATGCCCAACTCACAAAAACACATGGCACACCAAAGTTCGAGCCTCAAGGTTCAACTTTATACACTGACTTTGGAGTCGCGTTCAGCTTTCGTAGGTTACCCGGCTCGCAAGCCTAGAAAGCGCGCCACGTATGACTCGGGCGACGAGATAAGACGAGGGCTACAAATAGCACGAAGTGCTTTGCGACTGCTCGTAATATCGACAGGCATGCCCACCAGGACACACGATTGACCTATCGTGCATCCAACAAATTCGTACGTGAGTTCGACCCAGGTTTAGTGTCCCTTTACAACCCCACCATCAGAGATAGGACACACGATTCTTGCGAAGAGACACAAACGAAAATCGCGAATCAGGTTACCAACAAAAGCTTGACCTAATTTTTGAACCTCTACACCAAAAGACACGCGCCCTTATGGCTGCTGGAGGTTTGAGCATGACCACTCTGTATCGTGAAAAACCACCCGAAATCCATACTCGCATTCAGCTCAGTCAGACTTCATTACAAAATCTACTACGAGACCATGAATGCAAAATTATCTCCAATTCCAACTAGATCGAAAGAAAACTAACCAGCCGTAATATAGAAGGGAATGCTAAATGCTACAAGACATAAGTTAATAAATTTAGCAATGCTATTGCCAATCTGGGCAAAAATCCCTTCCAAATTGTCAAAACTTCTAACTATGCCACTCTTGTCAAAATCATATTGTTAGCCAGAAGCCCATATCCTCTACCCCTAGTCCGCAACATCACAACCCAACACATTGCTCTATGCAGTAGAGTATTTCCTGTCTTCCGTAGCTAAAAGCGAATAGCAGCGGATCAAGCGATGCAACACCAATGAACGCAATCTTTGTCAGCATGTATAGGGCACCACACCCGTCTCCTGCCTCGACATCAGCTCCTCCTCGCTCCTCTTCAACGTTGTGCATGTTGGATGGTCATCAGCTGCTCCTAGGCTGGCAGCATCCCTAGGGCAGCTTCAATGTCATGCATGTGGATGGTCATCAATTGTTCCTCACAGCAACAATCAAGGGGCAGCCACAGGTCCAGGTGGTCCCGGGCATCCAGCAGCAGCGGCAGATTATGGAGGCAGCATCCCCAGAGCAGCTTCAATGTCATGCATGTGGATGGTCATCAGCTCTTCCTCACAGCAGCAGTCCAGAGGCAGCCGCAGGTCCAGATGGTCCCGGGCATCCAGCAGCACCGGTACTGCCATGCCTCCATTCCTCTCCCTGCGCTGCTTCGCTGTCGTGTGCGCTATGATTGCCTCTGCCAACGCCTCTTCCGAGCACGAGGAGTGGAGCCTGGAGGGGTTTGGGAGGGCGCAAAAGGGCGGAAAGGGGGGTGGGAAGGGGTGGAAAGGGGTGAGATGAATAACCTGTGCATCCAGCAGCACCGGCACTGCCATGCCTCCGTTCCTCTCCTTGCGCTGCTTCGCTGTCGTGTGCGCTACGATTGCCTCTGCCAACACCTCTTCCAAGCACGAGGAGTGGAGCCTGGAGGGGTTTGGGATGGCGCGAATGGGCGGAAAGGGGGGTGGAAAGGGGTGGAAAGGGGTGAGATGAATAACCTGTGCATCCAAGCAGCACCGGCACTGCCATGCCTCCATTCCTCTCCCTGTGCTGCTTAGGTGTTGTGTGCGCTATGATTGCCTCTGCCAACGCCTCCTCTGCACATGACGGGTGGAGCCTGTGGGGCAGGGGGAGGTGATGGAGAGGGTGAAAAGTGGTAGAAACAGGTGAACAGTGTGGTGAAAAGGGGTGAAAAGGGGTGAAAGAAAGAAGCCATCGCCTCTGCCTCCGTTCCTCTCCTGCGCTGCTTCGCTGTCATGTGTTCCATTATTGCCTCTGCACATGAGGGTTTGAATCTGGTGGAGGAGAGGGTTTTGAGGGCTTGAGTCTGGGGGAGGAGAGGGGGAACGCGGGGTTCGGGGAAACAAGGGGGGCTTGGGGTAGTGGGAGAGAGAGTAGCACTTTCGTTCATTCAGCAGCACACAGCAGAGATGTATCTGTACCACTCAGAATCTCAGATGGACTCACCTGAATCCAGTAAGCGGAGATATGTCCATGTCATCTCCACCTTCACTCCCCTCCTTGCTCCCACTCCCACTGCCGATGCCACTCCCACTGCCGACGCCACTCCCACTGCCGATGCCACTCCCACTGCCGATGCCACTCCCACTGCCGATGCCACTCCCACTGCCGATGCCACTCCCACTGCCGATGCCACTCCCACTGCCGATGCCACTCCCACTGCCGACGCCACTCCCACCCCCACCCCCACCTCCATCCCCCATGCCACTGCTTCCATGCGCATAATCCCCTCCTCTTCCACCCGCCTCCACTCCAACCAGCTGCTTCTTGGGACCGACAGCAACACAGGATAAGCTCATTTCGCCTCCTCCCGTCGACCCATCACCGCCGCGCCTGATGCCAGAATCCAAAGCAGCACAGCTGCCGCCGTTACCACAGTGGCCATGCTCCTTGCAGTCGCATGCAGTGCTCCTGCTGATACCCAGACTACTGCACTCCTCGCTCTGCCCCCTCCCCTCCTTTTCATCCACCCCTTCTTCCTCCTGCTGCTTTCCCTGCGGTGTCACCTCCTCCTTCCTTTGCTCCTCCCCTCGCTCCCTCACTACTTGATGCGCTTGCTCCATCTGCCCCCCAAGCAAACCCCCCTTCTCCTCAATCTGCTTCTCCTCAATCTGCTTCTCCTCAATCTGCTTCTCCTCAATCTGCTTCTCCTCAATCTGCTTCTCCTCAATCTGCTTCTCCTCAATCTGCTTCTCCTCAATCTGCTTCTCCTCCATCTGCTTCTCCTCCACTTGTTGCGAACTCTTAAAACACGTCCTCTCCACATTACCCCACCTCCCTGGCTCAACGCTCTCACCACCCCTGCTAACCTGCTCCTCCCTCTGACCATCCCATTTCCCCTGCTCCCCCTTCTGACCGTACCCCATTTTCAGCAGCATCACCCTTGCAATCTCCTTCGGGCTCAAATCATCAAAAGTAAAACACTTAGTAACCCGCCTCTTAAACCCCTCATTAGCCTCAAAAACCCGCTGCATCGGCTCAGCATACCCCGCAAAAATCACCACCAGTTTCCCCGAATCCATCACAGTCATAATCTCCTCCAAAGCCTCTATTCCATAGTCTTTCTCTTCACTCCTCTGACACGGCATGAGCCTATAAGCCTCGTCCACAAACAGTATCCCTCCCTCTGCTTCCTCAATCTTTCTCCTAGTTTTCGGACCCGTATGCCCCACATATTCCCCAACTAGGTCCGTTCTCTGCACCTCCACTACCTTATTCAAGGGTAAAACACCCACCAGCGCCAGCATACGAGCAAGCACCCGCGCCACGGTTGTTTTTCCGGTGCCCGGGCTGCCCAGAAAAGCCATGTGTGGGGCGCGGCGGGGAGGCACGGGCAGCCCAAGTGCCCGGCGCCTTTGGTCTAGCAGGAGACCCTTTCCCCATGTCCTTAGCTGCTGCTTTAACGAGTGGAGGCCTACTAACGAGGATAGCTCCTTTTCAAGCTGATCCATTACTAGCTTTGCTCCGTGCACGGCCAATTCAGCCTGTAACGAGTGGGAAGAGCATACGGAAGAAAAGAGATAACAAAATGTTGCTGAGAAACGTTGCAACTGCCCAGAGAAACGTTTCGGACCATCCTGTATGTTGGTTGTCTAATGCAAAAACGTTATCCAAGCCAACCCACCATACCTGCAGCCTCGTTCGCCTGCTGATGTGTCGCTGCAGCAGCGCCTGCACCTCCCGACACACAGCGCACCGCGTGGCTCGACTTGGAAGCAGCGCCATGGGCGTGTTGCCGTCCTGCAGAGGGGGGAGGACACGAGGAGACGAGACATGAGGGGAAGACACGTGAGGGATCGAGATGGGAGCACATCGCCTGCACCTCCCTGCACACAGCGCACTGCATAGCCTTGCTTGGATTGGAAGCAGTGTCATGGGCGTGTTGCCGTCCTGATGGCATGAGGAGGAGGGATGGGAAATGATGAATGAAGGAAATTCAACCCATCAAGTGCAAATTAGAATACAGGGTCAGCCCATCACGTTAGAAGAAGTGTACATTCTCAACCCATCAAGTTTTGAGACGTTCTAAAACACACAGCACCGCATGCCAACTCGTCACCTTACCAGCACACCACCACACGCCACATCTTTCCTTGCATCACCCCCTCTGTACCTCACTGCATCGTACCTTATCCAGCGTACTCACCTTATCCACTGCACATGGGTCTGCATTGGCTTCTAGCAGCACTGCCACAGCCGCCACGACACCCACACCACACTCCCTGCTGCCATCACCCTTCACTGCACCAGCAGCAACAGCACCACCACTAGCACCACCAGCGGCAGAAGAAGCAGCAGCAGCAGGCAGAGAATCAAAACAGGCGGGTGACGCTGGTGTGGGTGGCGGGCAGGTGGGGAAGGCAGAACCATAGGCGCCCGGGGAAAGCAGTCGAGGGGAGAGGGGCTGGGGGGAAAGCAGTCGAGGGGAGAGGGGCTGGGGGGAGAGCGGACGAGGGGAGCAGGGGGAGAGTGGACGGGGGGAGAGTTCCCCAGGGGAGAGTGGTTTGGGGGAGAGTTCCCCTGGGGAGTGGAGCAGTGGAGATGGTTTAGAAGGAGAGATTGCTGGGCCTGCTTGATGCGTCAGGTGCTGCTGCTGCTGCTGCTGCTGCTGCTGCTGCTGTGCTGGCCGCTTCTGCTGCTTCTGTGATCCATGTGCCGATTCAGGTGGTTCTGCTGCTGACCCAGGTATCACTTCAGGTGCTGAATTCGCTGTTGCTGCTGGCTTGCTTGGTGGATGGGCGGTAATGCTGCTGTTGGCGGTGCTGCCAGTGTCGTTGCTAGTGTTGCTGCTAGTGGCTTGCACAGCAGCCCACACGGCGAGATGGAGAGGCGTCATGCCGTTCTGAAGAAAGAGGAAGCAAATGCGGAAGGGGGGGGGGCGAAGGGCGAAGGGGATAGGGAGATGGAAGGAAAGGATTTGATTGAACAGGAAACTGGGCGCGGGGAGACGAAGACTACCATAGACACATGAGTTTTCCAATCAATAATGCAGCAAGGGTTAGGGCATGGAAAGGGTGACATGAAGGGTGAGGTGAGGAGGGATGGGGAGGGCAGGCGGAGAGGCGGCCTTATTGTTGCAGCAACGTCCGCCCGTGCGCCTGCTCGTATTGGCGAGCGAATGGCGTCCGCGTTGCAACAAGCTGATTGCTGAGAATTCTAGTAAACCAGGGAGCGGAGAGAGAGAGAGCTTACTGTGGCAGCAACGTCCGCCCGTGCGCCTGCTCGTATCAGCAGCCGAATGGCGTCCGCGTTGCTGCTCTTGGCCGCCACGTGGATTGGGGTCTCGCCGAACTGACGAAAGGGAGGGGAAAGAAAAGCGAGGACAGAAAGGGGTTTGGGGCAACGGAAAAGGGGAAATTGGGAAGGCGGGGAAGGTGGAAGGGAGGCTGTTGAATGGCGTGCGCTTTGACGCTCTTTGCCGTAAAGCTCAACCTCAACAACTAGTCTCACCATGTTCCGCGCTTCAACGTCTGCCTTCACTTCCGCCGCGCCGCGCTGCTCCCTCCAGTCCAGGAGAAAGCGGAGAGCCTCGAGCTGCCCCTCCGCCACGGCGAGATGGAGAGGCGTCTGACACACCTGGGTGAAGAGGAGTGGATTGAGGTGGAGAGGAGTGGAGAGGAATGGCGACGGGAGAGCGTGATATGGGTTAAGCGTCACATGGGGGAGGCGTGACGTCGATAGGGCGTTAGGTGGGGAGGGCGAGAGGTGGGGAGGGCGAGAGGTGGGGAGGGCGAGAGGTGGGGAGGACGAGAGGTGGGGAGGGTGAGACACTGGGACTTGACAGGATTGAACGTGCGCAGTGAGGCTCTCTGATGGATCATTGCAGGTCACCGCAGCTTCCTTCCTTCAGCTCACCGGCAGTTGCTTCTCGTTGATAGCAGCACGGCTGACAGCCAGCGACTTTTCAGAAAGGGACTATTCAGGCACCTCAAATGTTGTTCGTTCCGCTCACCGGCAGTTGCCTCTCGTTGATAGCACCAGGTCTGACAGCTAGCGCATCCCGCAGCGCCTCGACGTCCCCCTCCCGAGCTGCCACGTGCGCCGATCTCCGCTTCTTGCTCCGCACTGGAACCGTGGATACCGGCGCCGCCGCCTGGCCTTTCTCCGATCCTTCCGCCAGTCTCTCCGCCGTCCGCGCCTCCCCGTTCTCCTCCCCCGTTACGCCATCAGCCTTTCCGCCGGCTCCCCCTCCACTGGCGGAACGGTCGACCGCAGCTTCTCCCCAGTCCAGTCTCCGCCTTGCCGCGGCGCAGCACCGCCGACCAGCTCTCCCCCTCCCCGCATCTCCCCCGTCTCTCATTCCCGGTTCCCCTTCCCCCGAGCCTAACACACTGCAACAATCGCAAGAAGACGAAGGGGCTGGCGCTTCAAACGAAGCACGCGGTAACGAGGACAATGGAATGCTGCTTGTTCCCGTGCAAGGGCTCTCGATATCAGGGACCACCGAAATCTGCGGCACTACTTGCGGTGGAGAAGAGACTTGAGAGACATGGCCTGCTGGACCGGATTGACCAGTTTGAATGGCTTGACCGTCTTGACCGTCTTGACCGTCTTGACCAGTTTGAATGGCTTGACCGTCTTGACCGTCCGACTGCGACGACTGCGACGACTGCGACGGCTGCGACGACCCGTCAACGGACTCTACTACGACGAACGACGAACTTGCTGAGATCTGAGAAACTCCTTTTGATTGGTCGCTGTGGTTGTTACCAGGCACCTGAGGTTCTGTAACGTGGCGCGGCTCAACGAACGAGTCGCCATTTTCGTCAGCTGTCGTGATCGCTTCGCGAATTTCTTCGCTAAGCGTTTCGCACTTGGCTGGGGAAGAGCGAGACCTGGAGAATCCGAGGGTGGTGGTGACGGCAGGGCCTAGTTCAACGGGCGGCGGAAGATACGGGCCGTATCTAGCAGAAACGGCGGGACCGAAGGGAGCGGGTGACGGAATGATCTCGGCTGCTGGTGAACTGAGAGAAGGCGATAACGGATGGTTCAGATTGGAGAGCGCTGGCGAAATGGCGAATCTGAATGAACCAGAATCGGCTGAGTCGGGAGAGGAGGATGGTCGTTGCTGCTGCGACTCTGGAGTTTCATGTTGAGAGCTGTCGTCGTGTGCAGATTCGGAGTCTGATGCGTGCGAGAGAAATGAATCAAACGAGGTGCGAACGGAGTCCGTGGACGGGAAAACAAAATCTGTTGAAGCGGCAACGGAATTCGTCAAGGCCCGAACGGGAATTTTGACAGTGTGAACGACATCCGTCGAGGAAGCAGGAAGTGAATTTAGGGAGGTGGTGGAGAGCTGAGGAAGCGAGGCTGTGCGGGAATCGGAATGAGGAACGCTGGTGGGTGGTGCTGTATTGCCATGGGCAGTTGTGTGTCTCCTTGGTTGTGCTGATTCTCGCGGTGCTGCTGCTCCTCCTACTGAACTTCCTGGGTTGAAATCGAATATCGTCTCTAGAGTCTGCTCCTTAGTCAGAGCGCCTCTCCTATCCGCTACGATGAACATTCTCCTAGGAGTACCTATTCTTACTAAAAAGTGGAACAACCCTTCTGTTATTCGCGCTACGCCAGCATGCTACTTCTCCGAACACGAACCGCTACAATAGCAGAATTACGAAAGATTCTCGAACAAAATGGCTAATAAAACAGCAAACCGAGAGACACGGGAGATACGAGACAAACACATCTTGCAGGCGGACATACTATTTTTTAGAATGTTGATTTTTCCAGGTGATATCAGGCTACAAAGAAATGACGATTTGAGAGGGACAAGGCAAGCATTGAGGAATGCTGAAGTCCGAATGGAATTGGGGAAGGCGACTCTTGTAGAGAACGTCACGGAGACTGGACGAGTTGCGAAGGCTAGGCGCGAAGTCCAGATCGTAATTGACGGCTAGGCATCCAAGATCGACGGTCCACTTTTGTCGCGAATGATTGTTGCGGGACTAGGTGGGCTGCAGCGAAAAGTATGTCAAGTTGCGACTGTTTGCCGACGCTCGCGGTTGTCGAGAATGAACTTTGTTCGCTCTAGCGACGAGGCACTACCTTCATGTCCCCCAACCCACCACACGTAACTTCGCCAAGCCGTCAGTGTACTGCGCTCCTGTCAGGCCCCCCGTCAACACGGCTTGCCAAGACGCGACGCGTTCGAGAGGTTTCCCGACTGGAAAATTTTCCTCCCTTGAATCAAGTTTGGCGCGGAAATTCTGGAGCCTCATGTTCTCCCGCAAACCCCAGGGAAATGTCAGAGAGAGAGCTTGTCCCATACGGCGCGGCAAAACCAAGCCTCGAACTTCAGTGAGCTGATATGACAATACATCCATGGCCATGGCGGAGAGCTTTAACTACGTCAATGTGCAGCAATTTCTGTCCTGATGCAGACATTGAGACACTTATACGACGCGCGGCTTTAAGCTCTACACAATGGTGTATTTTAAGTGTTCATTACGGGAACCTAAAACACCATTTATATGAGTTCCAGGCAGTCGTCAGTGTTTCAAGCATCATCAACGCCTACTATTGCACATGACTTCAAACAAGTATCTAAGCTTCCTAATGGATATCATCGCGCATTACCTTTGGTTTTGTCATCAGCTCGCGCTACTCTCAAGGCCGACTTTCTCTATGGTTCACCAATCTCCGTGGTTTCTACCCAGCTTGACTGCCTGGCGTTCCCTATGGTTCTGGCGCTGCCCTCGGGCCTGGACCTGCAGCGTTTCAGTTTCAAACATATGAAGTACAAACAGTCTGCTTCAGCGTCAGATGTGCTCAGTCCGGCTTGTTGTTCAGCCTCCAACGGGCTGTCAAGCTTCTCTCATCATCGCACCATGGGGAAAGGTCGCAGCAACAAGACTGGCAAGAAGACTCTTGATACTGACAAGGAGGGTGATATGGCCAATGTACCTGCTGTGCCTGTGAAGGATGCTGCCGATAATGGTCGTACGCCGGCTTCTTCTTCGGCGCCTGCGGTGCTCGGTCCCTTCGAAGACTTGCTGGACTTACAGATCAAGGCTGACATTCCCGCTGGACAAGACGGCGATGGTGCTGCCGGGGTCGCTGGTGCTGCTGCTAAGGAGGACGGAAAGGTGGCCGCTGATGGTGAGGCTGATGCGGATGCTGCCGCGCAGGAGGATGAGGATGCTGCGTCTGACCAGGCTCCTGATGACGACGACGATGGTTACCTGAGTGACGACTCCGATGAACATCTGGAACCGACTTCGCTTGGCAGCATTATCGATTTGAAACGCTTCTCGCTAACCTTGCTGGTGCCGTTTAACAGGAAGCCCGAAGTCAAGCGCACTGCTGTAACTGTGGCTGCCTTGCTGGATGATTGGAAGGATCAGCTGTCGCCGGACGTGCTGCAGACGACAACTTATCAGGAGCTTACTGTGACTTATTTCTCTGGCGTGCGTTATGGTCGCCTTCAAGTTACCTTCAACCACGTCCGCGATGCGAATTTTGTTTGGAGCCAGGTCGTCAGGCACGAGTGTGTGAACGGCGACGTGGTCGACTTTACCTGGCAGCATCCGGAGGACGCGCGTTTTCTTCGTGAGCGTCTGCTGAACCCGACGGCGAAGGAGGTTGTTGTCAAGGGAGTCCCTGCGGACATTACTGCTGAGCTGATACGTCACCTGCTGGTGGTGTCGACGCTGGTTAAGCGTGGTCGGAGCGCTTTCGCCAGCGGCTTTGGTTTTCACCGGACCGTTGATCCGGTCACTGGGTTAGACACCGATCGGATCCGTGGCCTTTTTGTACCTCATGTCGACGATGGGTATCGCTGGAGGTACTTCGTGGAGGACCCGTCGACTGGCAGGTGCTACCTGCTTCATTACCCGTCGCTTACCTGCGAGCTCTGCAGTGGCCAGCACATGACCCGCTACCACGACCACTATGTCACCCCGAGACAGGAGAATTTCACCAACTGGAACCTGACGGTCAAAAAGGTTCATGACATGAACGGTATAAGCAGGAAGCCTCTTCCTCCTCGGTTTTCGCTTTCGTTACCTTCGATTTCTGCTCCGCTCGTACCGTGCCTTCAGAGCCGTACTGACGACTGTCTCCTCACCTCCTCTCGCAGCGGCTTCCCTGAAAGCCACAGCGCCCCTGACGCGCATTCTGAAAGACCCCGCAGTCATACTCACCTCTACTGGAGGTGTGCGGGAGGAGTGGGTGTGCGTACAGACTGTCTGCGAGAAGGCCCAAGGGAATCGTTTCGAGCAGGCGGCGGCTCATGTGGCCTCTGCCAGGCACAAGGGAGGGCTGAAGTCAGAAGGTGCTGCAACGCGCGCCAGCATGCACTCGCAGAAGATGGCTGCTTTCAAAAAGGAGTTCATGGCTGTGCCGGCAAAGAAGTGAACAGCGGCTTAGCGGATGTGACGCCGTTGTGGTTGTTCGGTGCATGTTGTGTAGTTGGTGCCTGTTTCTCCTTCGCTGTAGCAGGATGCATCGTCGCAATAAAGATCAATCGCCCGTGGATGCTGTGGGGCTCAAAGAGGGTGGTTAATGGATAAACGCAACAGCTTAACCTTTCTCGAGCTCAACATCAATGGGCTCGGTAGATGCGGGAAACAGGAGAGATGCGGAAAGTGGATCAGAAAGGCAGCACACATAGTGGTACTCACTGACACACGTGTTTCACAGGATCATAACTTCTGGACGCAAATCCGGTCGGAAGCTCAGGCGGTAGTTGGCCCGTCACAGAGAGCCGGGAGGGTGGCGGTCTTAAGTTTCCTGCCAGGCATGCGGTTCACAGATGTGGTTACACATGAGTCCGGCAGGCTCATCAGTCTAATGCTTGCATGGCGCGATCTGACCTGCAGGGTGGTGGCTGTATACTTACCGGCGCAGGCACCCGCTAGGGGGGTTTTCTTTCGCGACGTACTAACGCCTTTTGTACAGAACTTGAGCGCCTCCCCGTATACCATTCTTCTTGGCGACCTGAACATCGTTGCGGACCCTGTGCTTGACAAGTCTTCGAAGTTGGGTACACCGGCGGAAAACCAGAGGCTCCTGCAGATCTGCTCGAGATGGGATATGCAAGACGCTTTCCGGTGCCTCCACCCGACCCGGAAGGAGTACACCTTCTTCTCAAGGTCTGCAAAAACAAGCACACGGATTGACAGGGTGTTAGTTTCACATTCTCTTCTCAACTGCGTTACAGAGGCGAAGCATAGAATGGTCCCATACGGATTAACAGACCACTGGTTTGCGGTGTCGGTGTCGCTCAAGGCTGCATCGGCAGATGACCACGGACCAGGGTTGTGGAGGCTTCAAGCACCTCATGCCGGGGGCGAGGGTGTCCGGAACATCATATCGGCGGTCTTGGCTTCTCAGGCGAATTGTCCGGATCAGGGCCTGGAGAGATTGGTGACGTGTCTGCGGGCAAGCATGAGGGCGCATGTAGCAGAAGAGAGGAAACGGGTTAAGGCGACCATGGTACACTTGGAGCAGAAGGTGGAAGAGCTAAGATGGAAAGTGATGTCTGACCGTTCGTCGCAGGCGTTGTACGAGGAGCTGGTACGGTGTGAGGTGGCTCTGAAGCTCTACCAAGACAGCAACAAGGAGCGGTTGCAAGTTCTGACGGGGATGATGCTGGAGCTGGCGGGTGAGACTCCATCGGGCTTCCTGTCCGGTTTGGTCAAGTCCAGAAAAGCGAAAACTGAGATTGCGGAGCTCACCTTCAAGGGGGTGTTGAGGAAAGGAGCGAGCGAGGTGCTGCAAGCGGCCTCTGAGCATTTCCGTGAGGCCTACGCGTTGTCGCCGACGTCCTCGCCTGTGGAGCCGTGGCCGATTGAAGAGGGACGAACGCTGCAGGAGTGTGATCGCCGGCAGCTGGACAGCGAATGGTCAGAACAGGAGGTGAAAGTGGCGTTGAAAGGCTTACCGGCGGGGAAAGCCCCGGGGCAGGACGGCTTGCCGAAAGAGTTTTTCGAAAGGAATTGGGAGCTGCTGGGTCCGGCGGTGATGAAGGAAGTCAGGACCTTTGAGTCAACGGGTGTGCTTTCGGAATCCTTTACGACGGCGGTTACGATCCTTCTGCACAAGAAAGGCGACAGGGGGGATTTGGGGAATTATCGACCGATCACATTACTGAGCTTCTTCTACAAACTGCTAGCGAAGGTGTTGGCGAATAGAATCAAGGTGGTCTTACCGAAAGTGATCTCCGGTAACCAGTTCGGCTTCCTTCCGGGGAGGAGTCTCGCTGATGCTGTCTCGCTGGTAGCGGATGCGATTGACGCTGCGGAGCAGGAAGACGAGGACTGGCTGCTGTTGTTGGTTGATTTTCAGAAAGCTTATGACTCGGTATCGCGGGACTACCTTTTCACGACACTGGGCAACGTGGGCTTTTCGGAGAAGTTCACGAGATGGGTGAAGGGTCTTCACGATGGAGCGGCGACCAGAGTGCTGTTGAACGGCTGGATCGGGGAACGGGTGGAGATGGACAAAGGTGTTCGGCAGGGTTGCCCGCTCGCCCCATACCTCTTCCTCTGCGCGGTTGAGCCATTCTGCCAGGAAATAGAACGGAGGAAACTGGGGGTCAGGAAGAGGGGGGTGAAAGGGAGCTTGGACTACATTGGTTATGCAGACGACACGACGCTGGTCCTGAAGGGCAAGGAACAGGTGGTAGTGGCTGAGAAACTGTTGGGGGAGTTCGCGGAGATCTCAGGGCTGAAGGTGAACCGGGATAAGACGACACTGATGCCGCTCGGTAAAAACCTAAGGAGGCTGCAGCCGATAACGTCGTCCTTCAAGTGGGCGGAGAAGAACGCGTCTAAAAGGCTGCTCGGAATCTGGATCACCTCTGGTGGCTCGCCGGGACCTGCATGGGACAAGGCCTTTGAAAAAGTTAGCGCGGTGCTGAGCTGCTGGGAGAGCAAGCACCTCAAAACATCAGCGCGAGTTACAATCATAAACTGTTATGTGATGCCGATCCTGCTCTTCCAGGCGCAGATTTACGCCCCACTGTACGATGTATGGACCAAAGTGAAGAGGCTGTGCCACAATTTCATCTCGGGAGGGAAGGCGCTCCTCGACAAACACTTCACACTATGGAGCTACGAACTGTCCTGCAGAGAACGGAAAGAGGGGGGCCTGGGAGTGATTGACTTGAGGCACCGGATTGACAGCATGGTGATCCAAGGTCTGGGGAAAGCCCTGGCGGAGCAGGAGCCACTTCGGAACTGGTTGTGGGAGAGGGCGGCGGCTTTTCCCCTCGGCTTGGCCACGGTTTACGCGCATCCTTCGATCCTGAAGACCTGGCTGGGGGGTGGCACGAGGTGGAAAGCCACTATTAAAACGCTGTGGGACTCGAAACTGGTGGTCATAGGGGACTCGGCTCACAGGTGGGACGCGGAGGGGGAGCAGTTATTGTTCAATCGAAATATCTTCTTCAGGGGCAGATCACCTTTCGGTAATCAGGCGGGCTCGCTCTGTCTGAAGGACGTCCGTCTGGGGGATCTGGTGGTGATGGGAGGGGATGGCAGCAGATCTCGTAAGAGCGAGGAGGTTTTGGAGAGGGAACTGGGAGGGGTGGAGCAGAGGAAGTGGGCCCTGAAGGCGTGGGATGCGACACCACAGAGTTGGAAGGATCTGGTACTCAAGCAACTATCGGTGGAGGAGGTTTTCAGGGAATCGAGGCTGGTCCGCTCTTCGTCTTACCGCCCAGGAGAGTTCTTTTACTACCAGCTGCAGTATGTGAGCAATGGCGAACTTTACGGTCGGAGAGTGACGGTGGACAAGAAAGGGAACATAGGCGAGGTGGAATATGCTAGCGTGGTAACAGTGGATTTCCGGCGCGTTTCACCCATGGCAGTCATCGATGGGAGGGCTCGCGGCCTACTCGGCGCTCCGAGAACGCGACTGCTCTGTTCCACAATCTGTGAGAGAGGCGAGCGGGCTGATCTAAAGAAGTTGAGGAAGGCGATGAAACCCTCAGTGACGCAGCCGAAGCAGCAGCTGAAGTGGGAAGAGGAGATGGGGAGGAAGATCGATTGGGGGAAGGCCATCACGGTCCGTGACTCGCTGGCAACCCCATGCAGAGCACGGGAGGTGATACTGAGGGTGCACAGTAACAACCTCCAGGTGGGAGAGCGGCTCCCTTTCTTGGGCGCGAGGGCGAAATGCACGCACTGTGGCGGAGTGGAATCGCAGGATCACTGTCTTTTCAGCTGCCCGGTGATCCAACCCGTGGTGGAGGTGATGAAGGATGTGGTTCGGTGTATGAATCCGGGCAGGGACATGCGTTCGCTCCGGGACATGCTCTTCCAAAAGAGTGGCACATCGTCTGGCTTTCCTGAGGCAGCAATCATATCCATCACAGCGCACCAAGTTTGGCTGGAAAGGTGCAACGCGGTTTTCCGAGGGAGCCGTTTCCAGCCAAAGAGAGCTTTGAGGCGCATGGCAGTTGGCTTCACGAGGCACGTGAAGGTCTACAACAGAGCGCGGAAGAAATCGGCTGGCAGGATTGCTTCGAAAAGGACGGGTGACTGGAGCCACTTGAATGCTGACGAGGCAAGTGCTATGTGTAGGCTATACGAGACAGAGGCCTCGATGACGTGGAGAGTTGGTTTCAAGAAGATCTGGGAAGATAGCGGTGTAGCGTTCCAGCCTCCGTAAAGGGATAAGGGGGGCTCTGGTTACTAGGATGCTTGTAACCTCTCCCTGCCCTCCTAGCAACAGTTACGACTGCGGATGTATGTATGCTGATTGTGTACCTATATCCACCCAAAAAAAAAAAAAAAAAAAAAAAAGAGGTTTCCCGCCAAAAAACTAAACCACCAAAACGGCCAGCTCAGCAAAGTCAACGGTGTGCAAGTATTCGAAGGCGCAGCCCACTACAGAATTAGGGTGCATTCCTATGGCGGGTCTGACATCAGGTCATCCGCCCTTAGTCTCTGATTTGTCTCTTCTCAATGTTGATTTGCCCCTATTTTGAACCACTTCGGGTCTTCCGAGCTTCTAAGGACGGATGACCTGATGTCAGACACGAGGTAGGAATGTTCCCTTACTCTCCGAAATTAACTGTTGTCACACACCTTAAAGCTATAGGCCCAAATTGCGCAAGATTACTAATCTTGCGCAAGCTTGGGTGCTGGGGGGTGGGCGCTGTGAACTCAAAAGTCGAGCGAAGTGACTTGTCTGATTTCGCAGCGACAGTTGTTTGCTTGCTGAGTCAGCAAGCTTCACAGGTGAAACGTGCGTTTGGGGACTACGAGTCCCAAATTACAGAGATGAGAAAGTTGAAGTTTTTGCGGTGAGTGCAGATTTGACCAATCAGGTTGCTTCGCCCCTACAGTAACCAGGTTTTCGCCAAGATACAGCACAAAAAAACGTGAGTGGGCAAGATTACTAATCTTGCCCTGCGCGGCCCGCAATTTGGGCCTTGAGCTTTAAAAATGAAGGCTTAGCAATAACTAGCCTCTAACATCAGCTGAATGTGGCTCAATATATGCGCCGCAAGCAGAATATGAACTTGCCCCCACAGCATGATGCATGCATAAGACAAGAACTCTGTAGGGACCAAAAGTTGCACATTCATCATCATGACATGCCATGTCGAATTTCCATTGCATCAAGCCTCATCTTCTGCAACATAGTATATCACAAAAAAACAACACAAACAACCACCACATATTAGCACAATTGTGGACATTTAGATGTTGGGAAAGCGCATGTGTGTGCTTGACGCGCTGCAAGACGCTTACCTAAGCGTTTGAATTTATGATTGCCACGTAAACACCACCAGGCGGAAAGAATTACGAGAAGCAGTACAAGCACACTCCCCACCACAATGACCACTATCAACCAAGTGGGCATTCCTGTAAAAGGGCAGAAACAAGCGGCAAGCACGAAGGAAAAACATAACAAGCACATACAATGCATCAAAACTTGGAAAGGAAAATACACTGCCAGTAAAAAATCATGGTAAAAAAACATCGACAGTCCACTGACCTCCCCCTCCACTGGCACTGATCTCACCATTGCTTATTCCGACCGGTGGCGATGCTTCTGCTGCCACTGCTGCTGCTGCTGCTGCCGCAGTTCCCCCTCTTTCACCTTGCACCACATTCACCTCCTCTCCTCCCTCCTCTCCTTCCTCTCCTCCCTCCTCTCCCTCCTCTCCCTCCTCCTCCTCTTTCTCCAGGGACACTGGCACCACTTCGAAAAGCTCCACAGCACTCAGGACAGCTGGCAGCGTGCTATTGGCTGCTGTGCGCACACCTACCTGATCAGGGTACAAGGGAAAAGCGAGGCGAAGCGAGAACGAAGGAGAGTTGGGGCCGGGGGCAATTACAAGCTGACAAGCCTAGGAGCTGACGTGTCTATTAGCCGATGTTTTGACGCAACGGGCAGTTCAATCTCAAACAAATGTTCGCTCGACGATGCCCACAAGGCGTTTATGATGCTTATGAGCTAATGTGCATGTCACGATGCCGCCAAGATCATATACTTATGATGATTCTCTATCAGCTGCACGCACGCACCTCCAAATCCTCTGAACGGCCGAGGGAAAACCGGGAGAAGTTGAAGAGGAGAGGCACGATAAGGGCCGTGCGGGGCGGCACGTGAGAAAGAATGTCAAAATCAGTAGATGCTGCTGCTGCTGCTGCTGCTGCTCCGGATGACGCTCCTACTGCTGCTTCTGCTGCCGAGTTAGCAGCACCACCAGCACCACCAGCAGCACCAGCAGCACCAGCAGCAGCACCACCAGCACCAGCAGCAGCACCAGCAACAGCACCAGCAGCAGTACCAGCAGCACCAGCACCCCCTCTCCCTCCCCCACCCAATAGCCCGACTCTATTCCCCAGAGCCACCACCCGACTCCCGCTCCCCAGTAGGATATCAAACCGCCGGTCGCCCACCTTCGCAGTGACGTTCATCTCAGCAAAATAGAAGCGCATGTACCAGAGATTGGATGCGTGCGCTGGTATCAGAGCCATTCGAAACCCTGTGATCTGCGCGCCTGGGAGAGGAGGAGGAGGTGTGCCTGCTGCTCCTGCTGCCCCTGCTGCTCCTGCTGCTCCTGCTGCTCCTGCTGCTCCTGCTGCTCCTGCTGCTCCTGCTGCTCCTGCTGCTCCTGCTGCACCTGCTGCACCTGCTGCACCTGCTGCACCTGCTACCCCTGCTGCACCTGCTGCACCTGCTGCACCTGCTACCCCTGCTGCACCTGCTGCACCTGCTGCACCTGCTGCACCTGCTGCACCTGCTGCACCTGCTGCACCTGCTACCCCTGCTGCCCCTGCTGCTCCTGCTGCCCCTGCTGCTCCTGCTGCTCCTGCTGCTCCTGCTGCTCCTGCTGCTCCTGCTGCACCTGCTGCACCTGCTGCACCTGCTGCTCCTGCTGTGCCGGCTTTGCCGGCTTTGCCTAGGGGATCTAATCCTGTAAGCACTCGCCGTTGCTGCTTGTGCTGCTCTCCATGCTCGTACTCCTGCTTTTGAACCATGCTGTTGAGGTGGCTGCGGTTTCCAAAGGCTTCTGTGAGCATCTGAGAAAGCAGGGCAGGGCACTTGGTGCAGAGCTCATCATGTGAGCGAGGATAACTCAAGTCTAGCTTGTCATGGAAGCGCCGACCACTCATGGCCTGCTCATTTTGAAAGCGATGATCCTGGAAACTAAGTCGTCTGCGAGAATGCACCTGCCTCTGCCCTTGTTGCCCCTGCCCCTGCCCTGCCCCCTGCCCTTTCCCATCCACCGATTGCAATTCCAGCCCCCCAGCTGACCTCCAGTCTTCAAATATCATCCCAGGTAGAAACTCAGGTGCTTTTCTCGTCCCCGCAATCCCCCTCCCTCTCGCCCACCCTCTCCTCCTCCCCACCCCAGCACCCCCCAGCCGAGCCATCTCCTTCTCCCAAACCACGTCCGCAATCCAGGTTCGGAACCCCGGGTCCTGAGGCTCGGGCCCAACCTGCCCGCCGCCCATGTTGATTCGGAGATAAGACGAGAGGATAATATCTGGGCCGAGGGTGGCAGAGTCGTAAGCTTCTGAGTGAACGGGGAGAATTTCTAAGGAGTTGATAATAGGAGGGGCATGGGAAGGGTTTTGTGTGAGGAAGCAGATAGAAATGGTTCCATTGCTGCTGCTTTTTTCTGTTCCGTTGCTGCCACCTGCTGCTGCCTGGGTGAAATTTCCCTCTTTCCCCATTTCCTGTCCCTTTCCGCCTAACCCCACTGCTCCTGCTCCTGCTGCTCCTGACCCTCCTGCTCCTGCCCCTCCCCCCCCTGTCGCCCCTCCTGCTGCCATCCCATTTCCGCCTCCGCTTCCCCCTTGCTCGTCTGTACCCCCCACTGGGGTCGTCCCTCCCCCAGGGGCATACGCCATATAGTCAGAATAGTACGCTCCTGATACAAGCCTCTGCTCCACTACACCCATATCAACTGCTTCCACTACAGTATTCTGCAATTTAACCAAGAAAAACGGCGGCGTGCTTTGGTTATCGTAGTCATAATAAGCAAACCCTACTCGCACTAAGTATCGCCCGGGAAATACAGGAACCCTGTAGCAGCCCTTAAGTGTTGGGAAATAACGCAGAGATGCTTCTACTGAGGATAAAAGGTTGCCCAGGGCGACGTTTTGGGCGAGGGAAACTGGTAACCCATTACGACTGTCAGCGGGGTCCTTGCGCTGGTTACCAGATGTGCTTATATCGAAGTATTGGTCTGCTTGCCATTGAATCCCGTTAATGGTTGTGTCGACTGTGCTTCCACAGTCGATACGGATGGGAACTGGTGATAGTTGGGTAAGAGGGAAGGGAGGTAGGAGGGGAGAGGGAAGGGGGCAATGCGAGAAACAATGAGATGAGGTGTAGGGGTGCAATGATGAATACTGCTAATGGTTGTGCCGACTGTGCTTCCACAGTTGATACGGATGGAAACTGGCGTGGATGTGGGGAAAGAGAATGGGGCAATGGGGGACGAGATGAGATGAGGTGTGGTGAAGGAAGAGTGGAGGACTGGAAAGGGTTGTATTTTTTAGTCGACTAAAAAAATGGGGCAATAGGGGACGGGATGCCATGAGATGAGGCGTGGAGCATGAGAGGTGGAGGACTGGAAGGGGGGATGGGGAGGGAAAGGGGTGAGGAACGGGGTTAGGAAGGGAGAGACAGGGGAAGAAGGGAGGGGTGAGGTGGGGAATAGTGAGTTGGGAGAGGTGAGAAGAGGTCGACTAAGCGCGCTGGCACTCGACAGAAAATGTGATGTCGTACGTACCCAAGGTTGGTCGCGCGGCGACAGCTGGCGACGCGTGCGACGCCAGGCACGCGGCAAGGAAGAGTAAACGCAAGCAAAACAATCTCTCGAGTGAGCATAGTAGTGGGTGAAAGGTACGTTGCTTCCGAGTTCCCGAAACGAGGGTGCTTTTGAGTCGACTCAAAACACAGGGTGGGTGAAAGATAAGCTGTTCCCGAGTTCCCGAAACGAGCGCTAAGGCGGGTGGCAGTGGAGAAGCAGCGGAATAGCGGCGCCTGTTACGTTCCGAGAATATTCGCCTTGGTGTCATTTCGCTACTCGCACAAACGGTCGATATTTTTTTGCTATTTATATATTTATTTAATATATATTTATTATTCAGGAATAATCAAGTGCACTGTGTCGTACAGCAGTCAGCGACTGTCGTCCGCGTGGAAGGCCGCGCGTGCGACGGAAAAACGTCGTCGCACACTGCTGCACGGTTCGTACACTGCGACAACCCAGCGCTGGGTTGTCGCTAGCCTACCTTGTGTCCTAACCGTCGTTAGTCCCCTGCTCCTACCAGTTAGCCTGTTACAGGTTCCCCTAATTATGGCTACTAGTAACCACGGGTTGGGTTGTGCAAAAGCAGACAACATGCTTTGAACGGTTTATATGATGTTTTGAACGGTGGAGATGGTCATGTTACCCCAAATGGTTGATGATACGAGGACGACGAATCGGTTACTTTCATGTAGTTCTCGCGGAGCAACTCGCTCAGGAACCCGATGGCCTAGAAATATCGGCCCTTCGCCACTTAGAGTTCGCGAGTTTCGTCACCTTCGACAAGCACAGAAATTCTCCGAGATGAACTTCAAGCAATCATTACAAAAACTCGAAATCACGTCAAGAACACGCCTTAAAAGTGAGGAGTTGGAACACATAGCGAGCACAGTGCCAACTAAACCATCAATACAGTATCAACAGACAACGGAAATATCATTTGCTCCATGCCTAATTACTGTTTGCCTTGAGCAAAAATGGCGTCCGCGGCCGCGCAACTGTCGCTTCCGCGTGTCTTCCGTTCTTTTCCAGGCATCCATTATCAACCTTCGAACCGCCATTGTTCCGCGCTGCTTCCGCCTTTTACGGGCTTGAAACTCTCGACACCAGCTGAGCGAATAGGCGGCGAAAATGCGATTTGCAGCACCAGAGCCGTGCCTGGCGGAAACAGGGGAAACGGGGAGCGTTTCCGTCATCCGCATCCGGTGACGCGCGCGGACGTTGTTGTGTCGGCGGGGGAAGGCGGAACCCGCGCGCCGCAGCGGGATCGGAAGCAGAAGCTCGCTCCGCCGAGCGGGCGCGCGGGGGGCGCGGGGAGATCGGGGGGCGGAAAGATCCCGTACGAGCTCGAGGCGGTGATCAGCAATCTCGTGTCGCTGGCGCCACGTGGCAGCATCTCGCGATGCATGGAGACGTTCAAGGGGAAGCTGACGCTGCCGGTAGGGTTAGTGAGGTTATCTACAGTGGTAAGGGGTTTATGGGAGCCATCTACAGTGATTAGGGTTTCGGCCACCCGCTGTAGTGAAGGGAAGTTTGAGCCGACGTGTGTCTGGAGACTTTCAGGGGGGAGCTGACGTTGCCAGCAGGGTTTGGGGGCAGCTGCAGTAATTAGGTTTTGTCGCCAAAATTTATCCCCAGCGCTTTCCTCGCTCTCGCCATTCCCTCACTCTCATTCCCCACACCCCAAACCCTCTTCTTCCCCTCCTCCCCCTCCCATCCCTTCATACCACCCCCTTCCCCCCTTCCTTCCCCCCCTTAACCCCAGGACTTCGCGCTGATATTTAAGGAGTTCGCGCAGAGGGGCGATTGGATCCGCGCAATGCGCCTGTTCAAGTACATGCAGGTGGGGGGGTGCTTTCGGGGATGGGGGCAGGCGAGGAGGAGGTGATGGGAGGAAGGCGCGGAGAGGGGGATGGGAGAGGGGGTTGAGGGGTGCACTGCATAGAGCAGAGTCGATTTGGAAATCACTTTTGAGAATTCTCAAAAGTGATTTCCATAGAGCAGAGTCGATTTTTGAGTCGACTCAAAGATGGGAGAGGCCGATTTTTGAGTCGACTAAAAAATAGAGGGTTGAGGGATGCACTGCACAGAGCAGAGGGGCGATTGGATTTGCGAGATGTTGGCATTACTTCTGAGAGATTTCAACAGTAACACTAACATAAGTGCTTGCAGGTGGGGGCACGTGTAGCGAGGGTGTTTTTGAGACGTCTCATGCAGTGAATCGCCACACCCTCGCTACACGTGCATGCAGGAGCTGTCAAATGCACACAGGTGGGCTGCGGAGGTCTTACTTCCATCAACTCGTATGGTTATTAAAAACACCCTCGCTACAAGTGCATGCAGGTTGGGGGCGCTTGTGGGGGGTAGATGGGCAAGAGGGGGCATCAGGTCGTCAATCGACTCCAAAATATCCATGCTATCAGCAGAACTGAGATCCAATCGATTTCTTGCGTCTGATATTCCTGTGTTGTTGTTCTGGTTGTGTGCGTGCAGCGGCAGCAATGGTGTGCCCCCAACGAGTACATTTACACAATCATGATCGGCATCATGGGTGCGTATTTTGCATGCACACAAGCACACCCACTACTAGCATACAGACACACACACACACACATACATACAAGCATACATATATTATACGTACAGCAATGGTGTGCGCCCAACGAGTTCATCTACACCATTATGATCGGCATCATGGGTGAGTATTCCTTGCACATATGCCCACTCACTAGCATACAGACACACACGCATGCACGCAACTTACATACATCCATACATCTATCTACACCATTATGATCGGCATCATGGGTGCGTATTCCTTGCATGCACACACACACACATGCTCCCTGCACACGCGTCCCCACACTCACACACACACACACCCTCACCCACACGACCACATCTCCCCCTCTTCGTTCTCTCCCCAAATAACACCAGGTCGGGAGGGCATGTTAGACCGCGCACAAGAGTTATTTGAGGAGATGCCGGAGCATGGTGTGGAGTGGAATGTCTATTCCTTCACCGCCCTCATCAATGCTTACGGGCGGAATGGCATGGTGAGAAACGGCATGGTGAGAAACGGCATGGTGAGAAACGGTATGGTGAGAAACGGCATGGTGAGAAACGGTATGGGGAGAAACGGCATGGTGAGAAACGGCATGGTGAGAAACGGTATGGGGAGAAACGGCATGGTGAGAAACGGCATGGTGAGAAACGGTATGGGGAGAAACGGCATGGTGAGAAACGGCATGGTGAGAAACGGCATGGTGAGAAACGGCTATTGATGTGCTTGCAAGCTGTCACCTTGAGGCGCCTCACTAGCTGAAGGGAGCGTGGCGTGGAGTGGAACGTGTATTCGTTCACTCACTGCGCTCATTAATGCTTATGGGAGGAACGGTATGGTGAGAAACGACCTTTGCTGCACTGCATGCACCTCACAAGGCGTCATGCATGCAAGGCGCTTCAAAAGGCTGCATCATAGAGTGGAGTGGAACGAGGTGACTTTTGAGTCAACTCAAAAGTCACCTCGTAACGACCTTTGCTGCACTGCACGCACCTCACAAGGCATCATGCATGCAAGGCGCTTCAAAAGGCTGCGACTTTTGAGGCGCCTCAAAAGTCGTCTCATGTCTCGCGGATTTTGAGGCGCCTCAAAAGCTGCATCATAGAGTGGAGTGGAACGTGTATTCGTTCATCGCATGAAGCGAGAGAAGGCGTGGCAGCGAACAGCATCACATACAACACAGTGCTGCACGCATGTGCCAAGGGGGCCTGCTCTTTATTCCCAACCCACCCCAACCCCTTCCCACTCCCGCCCTCGCCTCCCAGCCTGTTCCCCATCAGTAGGAGCGTTCATTGGATCTCCTTGCAAGGATGAAGCGAGAGGGCGTGGCAGTGAACAGCGTCACGTACAGCACCGTGCTGCATGCATGTGCCAAGGGCGCCCCTGTTCCCTCATCCTACCTCCCTTCCCTCTCCTCCCACCCGTACCACCAGTATGAGCGATCTCTTGACCTCCTGGCTCGTATGAAGCGAGAGGGAGTAGCGGCCAACAGCATCACATACAACACCGTGCTGCATGCATGTGCCAAGGGCGCCATTCCCTGGGATGGGCTGGTTGATATCTTCGCCAAGATGAGGCAGGAGGGCGTGCAGGTGAGGAGGGGGAAAAGTGAGCGGGGATATGTACGGATATAGAGGTAGGGGGGAGCGGAGCAGCATGGAAAAGAGCCAAGGGCGCCATCCCCTGGGATGGGCTGGTTGATATCTTCGCCAAGATGCGGCAGGAGGGCGTGCAGGTGAGGTGGGGGGAAAAGGGGAAGGAGAGGCACTGCTTGGTCTGTTACATTGCGCCTTGTATGGGGTATGAGAGTGTGTGTGTCATGCCCAGGGTGCCATCCCCTGGGATGGGCTGGTTGATATCTTCGCCAAGATGAGACAGGAGGGCGTGCAGGTGAGGAGGGGGGAAAGTGAGCGGGGATATGTACGGATATAGAGGAAGGGGGGAGCGGAGCAGCATGGAAAAGAGCCAAGGGCGCCATCCCCTGGGATGGTCTGGTTGATATCTTCGCCAAGATGCGGCAGGAGGGCGTGCAGGTGAGGAGTGGGGAAAAGGGGAAGGAGAGGCACTGCTTGGTCTGTTACATTGCGCCTTGTATGGGGTATGAGAGTGTGTGTGTCATGCCAAGGGCGCCATCCCCTGGGATGGTCTCGTTGATATCTTCGCCAAGATGAGACAGGAGGGCGTGCAGGTGAGGGGGGAAGCGAGGGGGGACGTTGTGTGGGAGTGCGGTATTGCGCCTTCCATCTGAGTGGCGTACTTTTGAGTAAGAGCAAGTAGCATTGCCGCCACCCCCCCGTGACTTTTGAGTCGACTCAAAAGTCAGGTGACTTTTGAGTCGACTCAAAAGTCACCTGGATATAATGTCACGCGACATCTTTACAGGGCGGAGGGCGATTTTGGCATGGAAATTACCTAAGAGAGTTGGAAGCTTTTTAGTTTCTGCTCGTAAGTGCTGAAGTTAGTTTTTACTGTAGAATTTCATTTTGAGCCTGATTCAGGTTACTGTAGGGCAGCCGAATCAGCCTGGGGTGTATATAAACCTCGGGAGGCTCTTTTCTTTCTTGTGGTCTGACGAAGGCAATTACGCCGAAACTAGTTACCACCACTTGATTTACACAAGAGAACCATTCTACAACCAGGCTTTCACGCCTGAAATCTTTCTGAACCTAAATTTACGCTAAAGAGACCGCAGCCTCGTAATGTCTCCCACCACAAAGTGGTGCTCCTTGGGTCTGACGACACCAAACACTGCGAAGGCCGGTTTCGAAATCAAAGCGAAGTTCACAACAACAATGAAGAGAACGCTTCCCAAGGAAACTAATTCCAAGGCGACTCGACAGTCTACAAAAAGGCAGTCACTCGTCAAGGAACAACAACAACATCAACTCCTCATTTCAGAACCGGAGGATCCTATTGAATCTTCTCCAGTTCAGCCTAGCAAGAAGCGGCTCTGCCAGATCGCAGACTCTCCTGCTACTTTACCCCAAGTCGACCCGATGGCTTCTCGTCAACCGGTTACGAAGCGTGTTGAAGCTCCTAACCCTGTTGAAGGAGGTTTTGCTGCTGCAATGGCTCCTGAAGCTGATGTGACGGTGACTTTGGATGATGACATCGAAATGACGGATTCATTTGATTTCCTGGGAGAAGTATCTGAATCATTTTTGGAAAAGCAAACGACACCTTCTTGCCTTAACTCTTTCAAGATTCAGGCTATTAACGACTTCAAGAAGCATTTTCTGAAGTATCGTACGCTGATGCAGCAGTACCAGTTTATGGTTGACCAGAAGAATAGCGGTATTATCCCGCACAGCATCCGCATCAAACCGTTTGCTTTCGTCTGTAACAACGAAGAAGTGAAGCAGGAAGCTGATAAGGACCTGATGGAAGCCTGTACGGCATACTGTCAGCAAGCTCAACTCGTCATGATTAATATGAAGAAAAAGGCAGCCGACCGTGCTCTTAATGATGCCTATGGTGTCTACCCGAAGCTCCAGAGTCAGCTGGCCAACTTTATTAATTTGACCAAGAATTCTGATCTCGGTGTTAAGAACTCCAAGCTTACCGACAAGCTGAATTTTTTCAAGGACCGGATCATCAAGGATTTTACCGAGTCAATGTCCCAGTTTTTCCTCGAAGCTGCTGTCGCCGAGACTCACCTTAAGGAGAAGAAGAAGGAAGATGACGACAAGAGAGCTGCTGCAGTGACGGAAGCAGAGAACTTACCTGTTGAACCAGCAGTACGAGAGATCGCGAAGCAGGAAGCCGAGAAAGCTGTTAAGCGACTCAGCTTCAACTTGAAGCGTTCTACTTCGACACATCCTCCTAAGACTTCTACCCGATCGGATAAGAACAGCAATGCTAAGAAATCTTTTTCGATTAAGACTAACAAACCGGCTACGATGTCCAGGAACCATTCTAAGAAGAAGCAGACTTCTAAGCAGCAGCAGCAGAAGAAGACTACTGATGGTACTTCAGACGCAGCTGCTAAGACAATGGGTCTTGCCTTTTCTAAGAACATCAACCGCAACGCCGGTCGGCATCCTGGAAGCAAGAAGCAGAAACCGAATACTCCAAAAAACGAAGGATCCGGCCCCGGAAAAACCAAGAAACGCTAGCTGCCGATGTGCACCAATACGCGCTGATAATTTTCGGTCGAAAGACGGAGTTTCAGCTGCGGAATCGGATCAGCAACAAGGGTATACATAATTTCAGTAACCGTGTGTTTACTCACAGCGAACTGAGTCTTCTTGGTCAGGGTCTTAACTTCATTCCAGTCCCAGCTTTTCGTAGCATGTCTAGCGTAGAGTCAGAAGTCGACGGTTTCATAAGGAGTGTCAGAACGATGTATCTCTTTGATGGTGCTGAATTTCAGTCGGAGTACCCCGGTTACAAGTTACCTAAACGAGATAACTGGACACCGCCAGAAGCTTCACCCGAGGTTGAAACGGCTTTAACAGTCTTTAAACACTCGGTGTTGGAAAGCATCGGCAATCAGAACTTCGCACTGCTGCGCCGGAGACATAAGAACTACACGCCTATTCTTAATCGACTTGCTCGAGATCCTAACCTTGTTTTTAAACCAGCAGATAAGAATCTGGGACTTACGGTTATGGATCGAGACTTCTACAAAGAACATTGTTTTAAGCATCTACTTAACCCGGCAGTCTACCGGGAGTATTCTTCAGTCCCAGTCCAACATATCATCGATGAGCTGCAGCAGATCCATACAGATTATAAGCCGCTGCTCAGTACCCGGATTTGGAGCTCATTCTTTAAGGCGCCGAAGGGGGGTTGGAGAGTTCCGGCTTTCTATATTCTTCTAAAAGTGCATAAGAAGGTTCCAGCAGGACGGCCTATCGCGGCGTCCCACTCTTGGGTCACCTCTAACGTCTCACGCTGGCTTGATGCTGTCTTAAGACCTCTCGTGACGGCGCAGCCGACTTACACTAAAGATTCTCAGAGTCTAGTGCAGGCACTTGAAGGGAGACGTTTCCAGCAGAACCTCTTACTCGCTTCTTACGACGTGGAGTCTTTATACCCGTCAATCCCTCTAATGGATGGAATCGATGCAGTCGATTATTTTTTAAGAAGGGAACGACATCCTCTGGCTCCATTGATCGTTCGTCTTTTGAAGTGGGTTATGTTCAACGGTTTTGTCACTTTCGACAGCCGTTTCTTCCTTCAGATCCACGGCACTGCTATGGGTACTTCAGTAGCCGTGTGTTTCGCGGTGCTGTTTATGAGCTTTTTGGACAAGCAGCTGCATGCGTCTATTCCTAAGCTTCCTTCCCTGCATCTGCGTTTTATTGACGATGGGCTATCCTCTGGGAAGGCCCGCGGGAGGGGTTCATGAGTTTCAAGGAGAAATTTGACCAGCTGCATCATTCTATCAAACTCACCTGGAACATTTCAGAATCGTCCATCGATTTTTTGGACGTCACCTTCTTTACAGGGAAGCGGTTTCAAGAGTGTGGTACCCTGGACGTTAAATTATACCAAAAGCCCATGAACAGGTACCTCTACCTACCGTTCAACTCTTACCATCGGAGAAGCACCAAAGTTAGCTTTATCCTGAGTGAATTGAGAAGATTTCTCCTGCGGTCTTCATCACGCGAAGACTTTTTTAAGTCTCGCGCTCTTTTCTTTGCAAGACTGCGGGTTCGGGGTTACCCTGAACGATTCCTTCTTCCCATCTTTAAGGGTGTTTCCTTTTCGGAGCGCTCTAAACTTCTTCGCGCTTTTTCATCTCGCCATTCCTCAAGTCGCGGCCCCCTCGTGTTGAAATGCGAGCTCAATCCGTTGGTTGACCGTTCGCGCGTGGGGACCATTTTGAGTCGACTCAAAAGTCACCTGGATATAATGTCACGCGACATCTTTACAGGGCGGAGGGCGATTTTGGCATGGAAATTACCTAAGAGAGTTGGAAGCTTTTTAGTTTCTGCTCGTAAGTGCTGAAGTTAGTTTTTACTGTAGAATTTCATTTTGAGCCTGATTCAGGTTACTGTAGGGCAGCCGAATCAGCCTGGGGTGTATATAAACCTCGGGAGGCTCTTTTCTTTCTTGTGGTCTGACGAAGGCGATTACGCCGAAACTAGTTACCACCACTTGATTTACACAAGAGAACCATTCTACAACCAGGCTTTCACGCCTGAAATCTTTCTGAACCTAAATTTATGTAGAGACCGCAGCCTCGTAATGTCTCCCACCACAAAGTGGTGCTCCTTGCGTGCAGGTGAGGGGGGAAGCGAGGGGGGACGTTGTGTGGGAGTGCGGTATTGCGCCTTCCATCTGAGTGGCGTACTTTTGAGTAAGAGCAAGTAGCATTGCCGCCACCCCCCCACGACTCAAAAGTCCGTCTGAGTGGTGTAGCTTCCCTTTTCTTCCTCTTCTCTTCTTTTTGAGTGGGGTGGCGGCGGCAATGCTATTTACTCTTCCTCCTGCTCTTCTCTTCCCCACTTCACACACACACTCCCTTCCCTTTCCCCCCACTCCTCTTATCCAGCCACACATTGTCACGTTCATCATGCTGCTAGCCGCCTGCAATGCTCCTTGCTCCTCCTCACCCCTCTTTCCCTCATTGTTCCCCCCACCTGTTCCCCTCTCGAGGTGACTTTTGAGTCGACTCAAAAGTCTCCCCCCACCTGTTCCCCTCTCGAGGTGACTTTTGAGTCGACTCAAAAGTCTCCCCCCACCTGTTCCCCTCTCCCGCTCCTGCACTCCTCCCACCAGCCCGACAAGCCCGACATAGTCACGCTCCTGCACTCCTCCCACCAGCCCGACATAGTCACGTTCAACACCCTGCCAGCTGCCTGCACTGCAATGCCCCATATTCATTCTCCCTCCTCTCTGCCCCCCCTACCCCCCCACCCTTTCCCACTCTCCTTTCCCCTCTCACCCTCCCCCCTTCACCGCTCCCCCAGCCCGACATAGTCACGTTCAACACGCTGCTAGCAGCCTGCAATGCGCGCTCGCTAGTGGAGCAATCAGCCATGGTCTTCCGCTCTATGGTGGCCTCCCAGGTATGTGTGTGTGGGGTGTTAGCGTGTGTCTGTGCATGCGTATGCATGCATGTGTGTATCTCTTTGTAAGTGTATCACCTGCCTCGTTGCAATCCACTTCACACACTATCCTTCACCAACCAACCTCTGTTTGTACCTATTTATCCTCCAACCCTCCTACACTCCCGCGTGTAATGAGTCGAGTTTTGAGTCGACTCAAAACCCAACCTCTATTCGTACCTTTCCATCCTCCAACCCTCCTACCCTACACTCCCAATCTTCACACCCTCTTTTGAGTCGACTCAAATCTCGACTTATCACAGACGTCTCAAAAGTACCTTTCCATCCTCCAACCCTCCTACCCTACACTCCCAATCTTCACACCCTCTTTTGAGTCGACTCAAATCTCGACTTATCACAGACGTCTCAAAAGTACCTTTTCATCCTCCAACCCTCCTACCCTACACTCCCAATCTTCACACCCTCCCTCCCATCCTTCCCAGGTGCCACCCAACGCCCTCTCCTACGCCTCATTGGTCGACACGCACCGCCGGGGCGGGCAGTTGGGCGGCGTGCGTCGTCTTTTCCAGGAGATGTCGGAGGAGGAAGGGGTGGTGGCTGACGTGTCAGCATACAACATGCTCATCGATGCTTATGCATGGGGGGGAGAGTACCAAGCGGCACAGGAGGTCAGAATACATGCTTATTACTGTGCTCATGTGTCGAAGCCGTGTGTGGTGGCTGACGTGTCAGTATACAACATGCTCATCAATGCTTACGCGTGGGGAGGAGAGTACCAAGCGGCTCAAAAGGTGAGAATGAACGCCTTAGCATACAACCCACAATGCACATGGGTTGTATGCTGTTGTATGGGTTCCAGCATACAACCCACAATGCACATGGGTTGTATGCTGTTGTATGGGTTCCAGCATACAACCCACAATGCACATGGGTTGTATGCTGTTGTATGGGTTCCAGCATACAACCCACAATGCACATGGGTTGTATGCTGTTGTATGGGTTCCAGCATACAACCCACAATGCACATGGGTTGTATGCTGTTGTATGGGTTCCAGCATACAACCCACAATGCACATGGGTTGTATGCTGTTGTATGGGTTCCAGCATACAACCCACAATGCACATGGGTTGTATGCTGTTGTATGGGTTCCAGCATACAACCCACAATGCACATGGGTTGTATGCTGTTGTATGGGTTCCAGCATACAACCCACAATGGCAACTTTAATCTGTTGTATTCACACACATGTGCTGTAGCCTTGTGCGGCAGCTACCAACACGTGCGATCTATCTTCACCCAGATGAAGGCCTCTGGGAGGAAGCCCGACCTCGCCATGTACTGGAATCTCCTTGAACCGCCTTTGAGGCGAGTTTTGAGGCGCCTTCCCTGCTCGTCCCCTCCCCTCCCCTCCCCTCCCCTCCCCAGGTGTTCAATGAAATGCAGCAGGCCGGCTGACTTTTGAGTCGACTCAAAAGTCAACTTGCTCTGCTCGTCCCCTCCCCTCCCCCGCTCACCAGGTGTTCAGTGAAATGCAGCAGGCCGGCTGCATCCCCAACGTGGCCACCTACACAGCCCTTCTCAAAGCCCTCAGGTCCAACGGCAGCTACCACCACGTGCGATCCGTCTTCACCCAGATGAAGGCCTCCGGGAGGAAACCCGACCCGCCTCCCTTCTCCCCTCTCCCTGTTTAACAGGTGTTCAATGAAATGCAACAAGCGGGCTGCATTCCCAACGTGGCCACCTACACGGCTCTCTTGAAGGCTCTGGGATCGAACGGCAGCTACCACCACGTGCGATCCGTCTTCACCCAGATGAAGGCCTCCGGGAGGAAACCCGACCTTGCCACGTACCGGACTCTCCTGGATGTGTTTATCTCGGGAGGGTTTTTCCGGGAAGCTTCGCGGCTGTTCTGGGACATGGAGGAGGACGGGGTGGAGGTGGATGAAGGGGCGTTTACTTCGTTGCTTGTGGCGTGTGGGCTTGGAGGGCTTACGGCTGAAGCAACAGAGATATACAGGTAGCTGCCTCTGGGTTTAGGGTGATGTGTGAGTCGAGTCACAGGCTGTTCTGGGACATGGAGGAGGACGGGGTGTAGGTGGATGAAGGAGCTTTCACGTTGCTGCTCGTGGCGTGTGGATTAGGGGGACTCACAACAGAGGCTACTGAGATATACGGGTATGTATGGCTAGGGTGATGTGATGCATGAGATCGAGAGGCCTTACGGCTGTTCTGGGACATGGTGTTAGACATCTATGAAGGATGGAGAACTTAGCATTGAAAGGGATGGTTTTAGAATGAAAAACAGGAGGTATACATAGTTGAGCTAACAGAGTGAGGGGGTTGGTTGGGAGCGTGGCCAAGATTATTGGCCCCCACCAATAATTGGGTCGGAGGAATTATTGAAGCCTCCAATAATCTCAGGGCCCCAATAATTCTCTAACCCAATCTTTGGGGGCCAAACATTTTGGCCAAGGTTGGAACCAAACCACAACTAGGGTAAACCCCAGTTGTACACCCAAATCAGGTTTGGGTGCTTAACTGTAGACAAGCAAACTAGAGTATGCAGGATAAATAGAATAGAGGTTTTCTAACACATGGAGGAGGATGGAGTGGAGGTGGATGAAGGCGCTTTCACGTCGCTGCTCGTGGCGTGCGGGCTGGGTGGGAGGGCTGACAACCGAAGCAACGGAGATGTACAGGCACGGCTGGCTATGGTGATGTGATGCGTGTGTGGAGTCACAGGTCACACGCCATGCAGGGGAGCGAGAGAGAGGGGGGCATCATTTAGGATATTCCTTTCCCTCCCCCCTCCTCTTCCCCCTCCCTCTCCCCTTCCTTTCCTTCCCCCCCCCCACCCACCCTCCTCCCCTCTTTCTTTCGTTACAATCAGGTTTCTGCGAGAGCGGTCACAGATGCAATCGTCAGCCTCGTTAATGGGAGGCGCCCTCCCTTCCCCTGTCTCTCCCCCCTCCCCCATCCCGGCTCTGCCTCGATAATGGAGGCTCTGATTCACTGATGTAGGCGAGCAATACCCTAGATAGATGTGGTCCCTGCACTCACTGCACTCTCCTCCTTCCTCACCCCTTCCTCACCACCCCCCCTCTTTCCCCTCAGGTTCCTGCGGGAGCGGTCACAGGTGCAGCCATCAGCCTCGTTAATGGAGGCTCTGATAAGTGCGTATGGGCAGGCGGGCATGTACGACCATGCGCTGACAGCCTTGCACGAGAGCATGGAGATGGGACTCTCAGACCAGCCGGTGAGTGGTTGACGGTTGAGTAGGGTGCAAAGCGGTGGGGACGGACCATTATTAATGGAGTCAATAGAAGCATGGACTTGTATAGCACGGCACAGCACATGCGCTGACAGCCTTACATGAGAGCATGGAGATGGGACTCTCAGAGCAGCCAGTGAGATGAGGAAGCAAGGGCAAGGGTAGCAGTGGTGTGATATGATATGCTACGAACTAAGCGCGTATGGGCAGGCATGTACGACCATGCACTGACAACCCTGCACGAGAGCATGGAGATGGGACTCTCAGAGCAGCCAGTGAGATGAGGAAGCAAGGGCAAGGGTAGCAGTGGTGTGATATGATATGCTACGAACTAAGCGCGTATGGGCAGGCATGTACGACCATGCACTGACAACCCTGCACGAGAGCATGGAGATGGGACTCTCAGAGCAGCCAGTGAGATGAGGAAGCAAGGGCAAGGGTAGCAGTGGTGTGATATGATATGCTACGAACTAAGCGCGTATGGGCAGGCATGTACGACCATGCACTGACAACCCTGCACGAGAGCATGGAGATGGGACTCTCAGAGCAGCCAGTGAGATGAGGAAGCAAGGGCAAGGGTAGCAGTGGTGTGATATGATATGCTACGAACTAAGCGCGTATGGGCAGGCATGTACGACCATGCACTGACAACCCTGCACGAGAGCATGGAGATGGGACTCTCAGAGCAGCCAGTGAGATGAGGAAGCAAGGGCAAGGGTAGCAGTGGTGTGATATGATATGCTACGAACTAAGCGCGTATGGGCAGGCATGTACGACCATGCACTGACAACCCTGCACGAGAGCATGGAGATGGGACTCTCAGACCAGCCGGTGAGTAGATTGAGTGGGTAGAGTAATCGCCGGGCAGGCAGGAGTATGTGCAGGCAGGCATGTATGACCATGCATGCGCTGACGGCCTTACACGAGAGCATGGAGTCGTTGACATGCAGTGAGCATGGAGTCATTGACATGCAGTGAGCTAGGCACGAATCTATTTTGTGTGGATGAACGGGGCTTGCGGGAGGGAGCAAGGCCTAGCGTCCATCTTCTGCTGCTCGTGTTGTATCTTGTGTGGAGGTTTATCCATCCCTCTACACCCTCTATCCGCTCCCTCCCCCCCCCCCCCCCCCCCCCCACAACAGGGTCCCTTTCTCGCCCTCATGGAGCCATATGCAGCAGGGGGCATGCACGCACGACGCAGCGCAGTAGTGTTGCTGTGGCCCTGACAGTGACATGTTCCATTCCATCTATTCCCCCTTCAACCCCCTCCCTCCATCAGGGTCCCTTTCTCGCCCTCATGGAGGCGTATGCAGCAGCGGGAATGCACGACGACGCAGCATTCGTCTTTGCCCTCATGATGCAATCGGACGGGCGGGGGGAGAGCAGCAGCAGGAGCATCAGGAGCAGGAGGAGGAAATTTTCCTGATTCCTCTTTGGACTGGCACTGTGCCCCTCCCTCCTGTGCATCAGGAGCAGGAGGAGGAAATTTTCCTGATTCCTCTTTGGACTGGCACTGTGCCCCTCCCTCCTGTGCATCGTGCATGACGGCCCACAGCTAGAGGACCCTCGTTACAGTCGGGCCCACAGCTAGAGGACCCTCGTTACAGTCGGGCCCACAGCTAGAGGACCCTCGTTACAGTCGGGCCCACAGCTAGAGGACCCTCGTTACAGTCGGGCCCACAGCTAGAGGACCCTCGTTACAGTCGTGCAATAAAAGCCCACCTTACAGCCCCCCTCTTTGGACTGCCACTGTGCCCCTCCCTCCTGTGCATCAGGAGTCGGTTTGGAAGCACCTCCCTCTCCCCCACTGTGGACTGGCACTCTCTTTCAACACACTCCCTCTCGCTCTTCCCAACCACCCCCCCCACTCCCACTCCCCTCCAGGGTCCCTTTCGTGACTTTTGAGTCGACTCAAAAGTCACCTCGGTTTGGAAGCACCTCCCTCTCCCCCACTGTGGACTGGCACTCTCTTTCAACACACTCCCTCTCGCTCTTCCCAACCACCCCCCCCAATCCCACTCCCCTCCAGGGTCCCTTTCGTGACTTTTGAGTCGACTCAAAAGTCACCTCGGTTTGGAAGCACCTCCCTCTCCCCCACTGTGGACTGGCACTCTCTTTCAACCCACTACCTCCTGCTCTTCCCAACCACCCCCCCCACTCCCACTCCCCTCCAGGGTCCCTTTCTCGCTCTCATGGAGGCATATGCAGCAGGGGGCATGCACGACGACGCAGCGTTCGTCTTTGCCCTCATGATGCAATCCGATGGGGGGAGAGCAGCAGCAGGCGCAGGCGCAGCAGCAGGAGCAGCAGGAGGAACATCAGGTGGAGGATTTTTGTCAGGAGACACAGCTACTGCAGGAAACACAGCTGTCTCGCTCTCTTCCCCCGCCCTCTCCTCCGCTCCCTCCTCCTCCTCCCCCTCCTCATCTGATCCGTACCCTGCTGATGCGTCTCTGAGGACGTTCAATGCTCTTATCGAGGCGTTCACTAAAGGGGGTCTCTATGATGAAGCGATTAAAGTCAGCGAGGTGAGTATAACTGGATGTGAGTGTAACGGAGAGTAACAGGATGTGGGCGACATGAAGTGTGATTGTAATTAGAGTTGAGCAGCCGGCCCGACCCGGCCCGACCCGACCCGAATTGGCCGGGCCACACGGACCCTCGGGTCGGGTCGGGTCGGGCCAGGCTCGGGCCGGATTCTTGAAACAGCCGGCCCGACCCGGGCCTACTCACTCGGGTCAAAGGAGACCCGGGTTCGGGTCGGGCCGGGTCGGGCCAGGTAGACCCGCCCCTTTAGAGGGGGCTGGGGGTGTTCATCACAAGTTGTGCTGCACCAACACACTGTACGCGGACCCTAAAACCCTATACGATATGGTATCCCGGAAGTTGCTAAGCGCCCTTGAGCTACTGCTGGACTAGGATGATGCGTTTATCTTGTGAAGTGTCACCCAATACTAGAAAAACGCGGATCTGTAAAATAGCATCATTTCAGCCACAAGATCCACTGTCGACAGCAGGTAACGTTAAGAATCTACCTAGGATGGTCTGGAATAGAGGTTAGAACGGGTGGAATCTTAGTAGCTGCTATGCTTAGGCGACTAGCTTCCCTGCTGCCGTCGGCCAATATCGAGATCAAGAGTGGCTAGGGTTTGCTGTCGAGGGGAGAAAATCCCCTCGACAACATTTCGATCTAGGGCGTGTTCGGTTCCCTCAGTGTCGAAATCGGGTCGCGTCAAAAACCCGACCCAAATTCATTGGTTCTGACCCGATTTCGGGTCGGATCAATCTTGGCCCGAAACCTGACCCGACCCGGCCCGAGTTCCACGCTCGGGTCGGGTTTTAGCCCGGGTCGGGTCGGGTCGGCCCGCGCGGGGCAGGCAAATGAATATACTGACCCGACCCGGGCTAAACCACGGGTCGGGTCGGGCCGGCCCGACCCGCGCGGGGCACCTGCTCAACTCTAATTGTAATAATATATGAGTGTAACCAGTTGCTGGCTCTCTTATTCGCCGCTCTCGTCCTCTCCTTTCGCCCCATGCAACCCCCTCCCACCTCATCACAGGACATGTAGCAAGCCAACTGTTGCCATCCCTGGCAACCCATGCAGCCATTGTGGCTGCGTACAACGCTGCAGGCAGCAGTGGGTGATTGGAAGGCTTCTTCCCTGCTCTCCTCTCTCCCTCCGCTTTACCCTGCAACCCCATTTCACCCCTTTGAATCCCTTATTACTCACCACCTCATCACAGGACATGGATCAGGCCAACTGCCACCCCTCCCTGGCAACTCACGCAGCCGTGGTCGCAGCATACAGTTCTGCAGGCCCGTTTGAAGTGGCTTATGCACAGGTGCTGCTCTCGCTGTCTACTCTCAACCCATGCAACCCCCATCCCCTTGCAACAGGATATGGAGCAGGCAAACTGTCGCCCCTCTCTGGCAACCCATGCAGCCGTGGTCGCAGCATACAGTTCTGCAGGCCCGTTTGAAGTGGCTTATGCACAGGTGCTGCTCTCGCTGTCTACTCTCAACCCATGCAACCCCCATCCCCTTGCAACAGGATATGGAGCAGGCAAACTGTCGCCCCTCTCTGGCAACCCATGCAGCCGTGGTCGCAGCATACAGTTCTGCAGGCCCGTTTGAAGTGGCTTATGCACAGGTGCTGCTCTCGCTGTCTACTCTCAACCCATGCAACCCCCATCCCCTTCCAACAGGATATGGAGCAGGCAAACTGTCGCCCCTCTCTGGCAACCCATGCAGCCATGGTGGCCGCATACAGTGCTGCCGGCACGTTTGAAGCGGCTTATGCACAGACGACGGAGATCAGGGAGGAGGGCATGGTGCCGCCCGCTGCCAGATACTGCCACTTGCTGGCGCTCTGTGCGAGGAGAGGCAGGTGAGTGGGAGGAATGAGGTGGATAGAGGCGCAAGTGTGAAGGAATGTATCATGTATGTGTCAGACGACGGAGATCAGAGAGGAGGTGACTTTTGAGGTGACTTTTAAGTCGACTCAAAAGTCACTTTGTCAGACGATGGAGATCAAAGAGGAGGGCATGGTGCCACCTGCTGCCAGTTACTGCCACCTACTTGCGCTGTGTGCAAGGAGTAACCACGTGATTGAAGAACACTTCTTGCGCTCTGCCACCTTCTTGCGCTGTGTTTTGAGACGTCTCAAAACACTTCTTCAATCACCTGCTGCCAGTTACTGCCACCTACTTGCGCTGTGTGCGAGGAGGGGAAGGTGAGAGGAAAAGTGGGTGGGGAAAGAGGGAGACGGGGAAAGAGGGAGACGGGGAAAGAGGGAGACGGGGAAAGAGGGAGACGGGGAAAGAGGGAGACGGGGAAAGAGGGAGACGGGGAAAGATAGGGACAAGGGGAATGAGATGGCGCGTTTGAAGCGGCTTATGCCCTGATGACGACGGAGATCAGGGAAGAAGGCATGGTGCCACTGCCGCCTGCTGCTAGCTAGCTACTGTGATATGCTGCTCTGAGCGCTTGATGCATCTTGTCTTGCCCCACCTCTTCCATCCTCCTCAAGCTCCCCCATTCCATGTCAGGTGGAACAGGGGAGCTGCTGGTGGGTAGGGGCGGTCATGTGTCTTTCCCTCAAGCTCCTCAAGCTCCCCCATTCCCTGTCAGGTGGATGGGCGCCCCATTCCCTGTCATGTGGCAGGACATGCGGCGGCTGATCATGGAAATGGAAGGAGGTGGAACGGGGGCGGGAGCACTGAGTGGTGAGGGGGCTGCTGGTGGGGCGGGGCGGTCATGTGTCTTTCCCTTTATCTCATCCTCTTCATTTGTTTCCCATCCTCTTCCCATCAATTTCCCCCTTTTGCTACTCCTCTCGCCAACCCCTCCTCTCTCCCAGGTGGCAGGACATGCGGCGGCTGATCATGGAGATGGAAGGGGGAGGAACAGGAGAAGAGCACCGGGTGGTGAGGGGGCTGCTGGTGGGGCGGTGCGAGTTGCCATGTGCCTTTCCGCTCTTCCCAACCAGTCCTTCCTATCCTCTTCCCATCCTTTGTTACTCCAGTCCCTTTCTTTTCAGGTGGCAGGACATGCGGCGGCTGATCATGGAAATGGAAGGGGGCGGAACGGGGGAGGAGCACCGGGTGGTGAGGGGGCTGCTGGTGGGGCGGTGCGAGTTGCCATGTGCCTTTCCGCTCTTCCCAACCAGTCCTTCCTATCCTCTTCCCATCCTTTGTTACTCCACTCCCTTTCTTTTCAGGTGGCAGGACATGCGGCGGCTGATCATGGAAATGGAAGGGGGCGGAACGGGGGAGGAGCACCGGGTGGTGAGGGGGCTGCTGGTGGGGCGGTGCGAGTTGCCATGTGCCTTTCCGCTCTTCCCAACCAGTCCTTCCTATCCTCTTCCCATCCTTTGTTACTCCACTCCCTTTCTTTTCAGGTGGCAGGACATGCGGCGGCTGATCATGGAAATGGAAGGGGGCGGAACGGGGGAGGAGCACCGGGTGGTGAGGGGGCTGCTGGTGGGGCGGTGCGAGTTGCCATGTGCCTTTCCGCTCTTCCCAACCAGTCCTTCCTATCCTCTTCCCATCCTTTGTTACTCCACTCCCTTTCTTTTCAGGTGGCAGGACATGCGGCGGCTGATCATGGAAATGGAAGGGGGCGGAACGGGGGAGGAGCACCGGGTGGTGAGGGGGCTGCTGGTGGGGCGGTGCGAGTTGCCATGTGCCTTTCCGCTCTTCCCAACCAGTCCTTCCTATCCTCTTCCCATCCTTTGTTACTCCACTGCCTTTCTTTTCAGGTGGCAGGACATGCGGCGGCTGATCATGGAAATGGAAGGGGGCGGAACGGGGGAGGAGCACCGGGTGGTGAGGGGGCTGCTGGTGGGGCGGTGCGAGTTGCCATGTGCCTTTCCGCTCTTCCCAACCAGTCCTTCCTATCCTCTTCCCATCCTTTGTTACTCCACTCCCTTTCTTTTCAGGTGGCAGGACATGCGGCGGCTGATCATGGAAATGGAAGGGGGCGGAACGGGGGAGGAGCACCGGGTGGTGAGGGGGCTGCTGGTGGGGCGGTGCGAGTTGCCATGTGCCTTTCCGCTCTTCCCAACCAGTCCTTCCTATCCTCTTCCCATCCTTTGTTACTCCACTGCCTTTCTTTTCAGGTGGCAGGACATGCGGCGGCTGATCATGGAAATGGAAGGGGGCGGAACGGGGGAGGAGCACCGGGTGGTGAGGGGGCTGCTGGTGGGGCGGTGCGAGTTGCCATGTGCCTTTCCGCTCTTCCCAACCAGTCCTTCCTATCCTCTTCCCATCCTTTGTTACTCCACTCCCTTTCTTTTCAGGTGGCAGGACATGCGGCGGCTGATCATGGAAATGGAAGGGGGCGGAACGGGGGAGGAGCACCGGGTGGTGAGGGGGCTGCTGGTGGGGCGGTGCGAGTTGCCATGTGCCTTTCCGCTCTTCCCAACCAGTCCTTCCTATCCTCTTCCCATCCTTTGTTACTCCACTCCCTTTCTTTTCAGGTGGCAGGACATGCGGCGGCTGATCATGGAAATGGAAGGGGGCGGAACGGGGGAGGAGCACCGGGTGGTGAGGGGGCTGCTGGTGGGGCGGTGCGAGTTGCCATGTGCCTTTCCGCTCTTCCCAACCAGTCCTTCCTATCCTCTTCCCATCCTTTGTTACTCCACTGCCTTTCTTTTCAGGTGGCAGGACATGCGGCGGCTGATCATGGAAATGGAAGGGGGCGGAACGGGGGAGGAGCACCGGGTGGTGAGGGGGCTGCTGGTGGGGCGGTGCGAGTTGCCATGTGCCTTTCCGCTCTTCCCAACCAGTCCTTCCTATCCTCTTCCCATCCTTTGTTACTCCACTCCCTTTCTTTTCAGGTGGCAGGACATGCGGCGGCTGATCATGGAAATGGAAGGGGGCGGAACGGGGGAGGAGCACCGGGTGGTGAGGGGGCTGCTGGTGGGGCGGTGCGAGTTGCCATGTGCCTTTCCGCTCTTCCCAACCAGTCCTTCCTATCCTCTTCCCATCCTTTGTTACTCCACTGCCTTTCTTTTCAGGTGGCAGGACATGCGGCGGCTGATCATGGAAATGGAAGGGGGCGGAACGGGGGAGGAGCACCGGGTGGTGAGGGGGCTGCTGGTGGGGCGGTGCGAGTTGCCATGTGCCTTTCCGCTCTTCCCAACCAGTCCTTCCTATCCTCTTCCCATCCTTTGTTACTCCACTCCCTTTCTTTTCAGGTGGCAGGACATGCGGCGGCTGATCATGGAAATGGAAGGGGGCGGAACGGGGGAGGAGCACCGGGTGGTGAGGGGGCTGCTGGTGGGGCGGTGCGAGTTGCCATGTGCCTTTCCGCTCTTCCCAACCAGTCCTTCCTATCCTCTTCCCATCCTTTGTTACTCCACTCCCTTTCTTTTCAGGTGGCAGGACATGCGGCGGCTGATCATGGAAATGGAAGGGGGCGGAACGGGGGAGGAGCACCGGGTGGTGAGGGGGCTGCTGGTGGGGCGGTGCGAGTTGCCATGTGCCTTTCCGCTCTTCCCAACCAGTCCTTCCTATCCTCTTCCCATCCTTTGTTACTCCACTCCCTTTCTTTTCAGGTGGCAGGACATGCGGCGGCTGATCATGGAAATGGAAGGGGGCGGAACGGGGGAGGAGCACCGGGTGGTGAGGGGGCTGCTGGTGGGGCGGTGCGAGTTGCCATGTGCCTTTCCGCTCTTCCCAACCAGTCCTTCCTATCCTCTTCCCATCCTTTGTTACTCCACTCCCTTTCTTTTCAGGTGGCAGGACATGCGGCGGCTGATCATGGAAATGGAAGGGGGCGGAACGGGGGAGGAGCACCGGGTGGTGAGGGGGCTGCTGGTGGGGCGGTGCGAGTTGCCATGTGCCTTTCCGCTCTTCCCAACCAGTCCTTCCTATCCTCTTCCCATCCTTTGTTACTCCACTCCCTTTCTTTTCAGGTGGCAGGACATGCGGCGGCTGATCATGGAAATGGAAGGGGGCGGAACGGGGGAGGAGCACCGGGTGGTGAGGGGGCTGCTGGTGGGGCGGTGCGAGTTGCCATGTGCCTTTCCGCTCTTCCCAACCAGTCCTTCCTATCCTCTTCCCATCCTTTGTTACTCCACTCCCTTTCTTTTCAGGTGGCAGGACATGCGGCGGCTGATCATGGAAATGGAAGGGGGCGGAACGGGGGAGGAGCACCGGGTGGTGAGGGGGCTGCTGGTGGGGCGGTGCGAGTTGCCATGTGCCTTTCCGCTCTTCCCAACCAGTCCTTCCTATCCTCTTCCCATCCTTTGTTACTCCACTGCCTTTCTTTTCAGGTGGCAGGACATGCGGCGGCTGATCATGGAAATGGAAGGGGGCGGAACGGGGGAGGAGCCTTAGTACCTCTACCCACCTGTTTTTCCTTGTTTGTTACTCCTCTCTGCAATCTCCCAGGTGGCAGGACATGCGGCGGCTGATCATGGAAATGGAAGGGGGCGGAACGGGGGAGGAGCACCGGGTGGTGAGGGGGCTGCTGGTGGGGCGGTGCGAGTTGCCATGTGCCTTTCCGCTCTTCCCAACCAGTCCTTCCTATCCTCTTCCCATCCTTTGTTACTCCACTCCCTTTCTTTTCAGGTGGCAGGACATGCGGCGGCTGATCATGGAAATGGAAGGGGGCGGAACGGGGGAGGAGCACCGGGTGGTGAGGGGGCTGCTGGTGGGGCGGTGCGAGTTGCCATGTGCCTTTCCGCTCTTCCCAACCAGTCCTTCCTATCCTCTTCCCATCCTTTGTTACTCCACTCCCTTTCTTTTCAGGTGGCAGGACATGCGGCGGCTGATCATGGAAATGGAAGGGGGCGGAACGGGGGAGGAGCACCGGGTGGTGAGGGGGCTGCTGGTGGGGCGGTGCGAGTTGCCATGTGCCTTTCCGCTCTTCCCAACCAGTCCTTCCTATCCTCTTCCCATCCTTTGTTACTCCAGTCCCTTTCTTTTCAGGTGGCAGGACATGCGGCGGCTGATCATGGAAATGGAAGGGGGCGGAACGGGGGAGGAGCACCGGGTGGTGAGGGGGCTGCTGGTGGGGCGGTGCGAGTTGCCATGTGCCTTTCCGCTCTTCCCAACCAGTCCTTCCTATCCTCTTCCCATCCTTTGTTACTCCACTCCCTTTCTTTTCAGGTGGCAGGACATGCGGCGGCTGATCATGGAAATGGAAGGGGGCGGAACGGGGGAGGAGCACCGGGTGGTGAGGGGGCTGCTGGTGGGGCGGTGCGAGTTGCCATGTGCCTTTCCGCTCTTCCCAACCAGTCCTTCCTATCCTCTTCCCATCCTTTGTTACTCCACTCCCTTTCTTTTCAGGTGGCAGGACATGCGGCGGCTGATCATGGAAATGGAAGGGGGCGGAACGGGGGAGGAGCACCGGGTGGTGAGGGGGCTGCTGGTGGGGCGGTGCGAGTTGCCATGTGCCTTTCCGCTCTTCCCAACCAGTCCTTCCTATCCTCTTCCCATCCTTTGTTACTCCACTGCCTTTCTTTTCAGGTGGCAGGACATGCGGCGGCTGATCATGGAAATGGAAGGGGGCGGAACAGGGGAGGAGCCTTAGTACCTCTACCCACCTGTTTTTCCTTGTTTGTTACTCCTCTCTGCAATCTCCCAGGTGGCAGGACATGCGGCGGCTGATCATGGAAATGGAAGGGGGCGGAACGGGGGAGGAGCACCGGGTGGTGAGGGGGCTGCTGGTGGGGCGGTATGAATCGGAGGAGTTCTGGCCGATCGCTGAGGACTTCTTTGGGCGACTCAAGGTGAGATGCATTGACTGCTGCCTAGTTGACTATCCTCTCTTGAGATGGTCCAAGATGCATGATGTACGGGCTGCTTGTGGGGAAATATGAGTTGGAGGGAGTTCTGGCCCATTGCAGATGACTTCTTTGGGCGGCTCAAGGTGGGGGCAAGGTGATGGTGATTGTGGTTGGTTGTTCCTCAACGCGCTCATGGATGCCCTCTGGTGGGCGGGCAGGCGGGCCACAGCGCTCTAGCTGCACTCATGCCTTTTGAGGCGCCTCAAAAGCTGCACTCATGTCGTGCCTTTTTTCCCCTGTGTGCGCCCCTGCCTTCACCTCTTGCTCCTTGGACAATCCCCCACACAGAGGGAGGGAGTGGCGGTAAACCGGGTGTTTCTCAACGCGCTAATGGACGCCCTCTGGTGGGCTGGAAGGCGGGCCTCAGCACTCAAGCTGCACGCACCAACCACCAGCCTTGTGGTCTTCCCGGAAGCTTCCTACCGCTCCCCGACGCTGTGGTCCCTGGACGTGCACCGGTCAGTTCAGTTCTGTTGAGTGTCTGCGCAGGCAGCCAACGTCCCTTGTGCCCTTACCAAGGCTGCTCTGCAAACACCTTTTCCCCTTCCCTCTCATTGTTTTTGGTTTTGTTCTGTTTTGTTTTATTCATTTCACATGCTCCTGACCTCATTTCGCATGCAATCCAATCTCCAATCTCCTTCACTCTCACGCAGCATGTCACAAGGGGCGGCATGTGTGTTTCTACACCACTGGCTCTCCCAAGTGCATGAAACAGCTGTGCTGGAGCCAGCAGAGCTTCCACCTCTTTTCAGTATAGTCACAAGGTGAGGATATATAGCTTCATTCCAAGTGCAGCTGGTTTCAATATTGTTGTCAGGTGCGATGAGACTCAGTACGTAACTACCGACGCTGTCTTTTGTTTTCCTCCCGTGTATCCGTTAGGAAGTGTTGATATTTGTAAATGTGTGTTCCTGTGCCCAATCATTGTATTGGCTCAGGTGGGGTGACGAGAGTCCCAACAAGGATGAGGCCGATGCAGCGCCTGTGAATAAAGCCATGGTGCAAGCTGTTCAGACGCTTCAACTCCCCTTCGCTCCAGCACCGTGGAATAGAGGCCGACTCGTTGCAAATCGCGAAGCCTTGATGACGTGGCTTCTAGCAGATGGGAATGCGGATCTCTTGGTCCTGAAGGATGCTCCATTTCCTGTAGAGGTCTCAAGTAGGTCTGGTGCATGATATTTGGCGTGGTGGTCCTGAGATGTTAGTGAATGTACAAATGTAGTGAATGAAATCTACTTTGTAAACGGACCTCAGGCTTCAAACAAGGATGGCGCAAGGCCAATCTCATTTTCCGAACCTGACGAGGGGACGGAGTTATGGCAGACAGAGAGCACAAGTTTCCGCTTCGATCGACGGCGGCGATACGTCTGCATGGGTGCTCGGGAGCTTGTCCTGACGGCTAGCGGACGTGCAAGCCCCAAATCGGGCTCGTTTTTGGTTTGGTCTGGCTGGCTTGAGTCTCTAGGCCCGGCAAAAGCTGACAGTCACTGTAGCTGGAATGATTGGAAAGCGGCGGGAGAAGCAAGGCAGTTGCTGATTGGCGAAGGCACTGGAGTTTGTGTGTTTACTTTAAACCCGAGTGTATGAATGTTATGAAAATCTCTAGGGAATGGCAAGTTTCTGAGGATCCTTTTGCGGTTTCTAGTAAACATCTTGTTTGCTTTGAAGCTTGTGACTGATATTTTCCAGTTTCATGTTGATCGACGCGAGAAAAGGAGATCAGAAATCAGCTGCTGCACTCCCACGACTATGCAGTTCCCCGGTCAAGGTGACGGAAGTTGCTGGTTTGGGAGCTTGCGCTAAAATTTAACCCAAGAGCCGTACCCCCAACCAATCTCAATGACTGTCGGTTCGTGGATTGATTCCTGCTGGGAGTTCCCAGGGTATTCCAGGGTGCGACCTTCGAGTTAGCCTGCTGGTCATTTCCTGTGGTAAACTCTGGCTCTCATTCTCAAACCCTTTCAACCGTAACGCACCCCTCGACCCAAGGCAGCAAACAAGCGCAAGCGAAGTAGACAGGAGATAGAGATTGGCTGGCTGGCTGTAGGCAAGATAAGGCTTTGTCCTTCACTCTAGCTATGTTCATTCTGAAAGCAGAGATTTCTGACATAGACATTGCCTAGTGCCTGGATTTTACATTGCCCTAAACAAGCTTCCGCTTATCATCAGCCCTAAGAGAACAGCAATACCTTCCTGTGGTAAAAGGTATCTGTTCGTGCGATCTTACGAGTTCGGGGTTTCCAGGCGTTAGGTGGTTGAAGACTCGAGGCATCGGGTGATCGGAGGGTTTAACAGCCTCCTGTCTATTTCACTCTCTTTTCTCCCTTCCTCTTTATTTCCGTTTCGGACGATTATAAAAATCCGCCAAGATGATGGACATGGTATTGACCCTCCTTATAGCGAGCTGCATGACTTTAACGCAGTTCGCGTTACAGCTCAAGGAGAACATGTCCACGTGTGCATACTACAAGAACTTCACTCTGGTTCTAGACTCCGTCGCCAGCATCCACGCGCTGCTCGAGAACTGCAAGAAATTCAAAAACTGGGGAGCGACAACGGACGCGGCGAAGAAGGCGTTTCAGAAGCTGGAGGACCTTCTGAGGAAGTGCACGGGACTTCTGCAGCGCTGCATCAGCGCGCGAAGCAAGCTTCTGCAGGTTCGTCTATATTCTATATGTATTGTTTTCCCACATGTTTTGTCGCAAATGCGTTAACAGACAAAAATGTTTGGCTTGATTCACATGGCTCCTCGTTTTTTAAACAAGAGTATTAACTACATTCAAGCGACTGTATCTTTCTAACCGTTTTTCCTGAGTCTCTTAGACCTGAAAAATGGGAGGTTTCGCTGATTGCACTGATTTTTTTATGCAAAATATTCGTTACCATCAATCGCAGCATCTATTCCTGCACACACATTCTTAGTCGCCTGATGAGTTATCAGGAACACATTGTGAACCCTGCATCGCTCGGCAACTGTGTGCGAGTTTTGAGGTGTTTCAAGATTGCCACACATTAGGGTCGCATCGGGAATCTTCAACCTCTTGGTAACTTATCCTGGAAGCCGCTGTAAAGGCATCATTTCATATAACATTCAAGTTTTCCCCCTCATTTTGCTTTCCGCGCGCAGCTGGTGTCCGAGACGACGATCAAGCTCGACGACTTCGTCTCCATGCATGCTGAGCTGGAAGCGTGCCTGCTCGCCATCCCCACGGACGCCATGCCTGATGACCTCGTAGCGCAGGTACGCGATAAGGGGCCACAAGCCTTACCAAGGTGATGTTTTGTCGCCTAAAAAATGAGCTGGAAGCGTGCCTGCTCGCCATCCCCACCGACGCCATGCCCGACGACTTCGTAGCGCAGGTACGCGATAGGGTGTTACAAACCTGGTTACGTGTCTGTATATGGTGAAACTGCGCGTAAGTCGGAACGGTAGATCGTTGAGGAAGCTAGGTAATTGGGTAGTTGTACCTGGCGGTTTTTTAGTCAACACTAAGTCTCATCGTAAAGGCAGCTAGTCTCATATTGAACCTGCGACTTTACACGCTGTACGGACCTTCCGATCCTCCCCCTAGCCGCGTTTTCGTAAGCGCATAATGGTGCCGTTAAATGAAAGCCGTTTCATGCATGTCGTCCGTCATTGTTTTCTGTTATTACTTCGCGGGACGTACCGTCAAGGTCTGGTCGGTCCTCTTTGTCTGAATGTCCAGATCAGTCGTCACTTTCAACGCGTCCTAAGCTCGCGAACCCCGTGTGTTGATGATGAGCCAATGAAGCGAAGGGAGGAAAATGAGAAGAGCCGACCGATGTTGCCTCTCGTTTACCTGTACTACTCTTTTTTCCCTTACGTCTTGAGTCGACTCATTACTTTCGTCCCCTATATGATTTCTTCCTCCCGAACACCCTCGTCCAGCTTTTAACTTCTCCGCTTGCTTCTCCCTCCCTGCTCTCCCCCTACGCGTAGCCATATACCCCCGCCCCACCGCTTCTCGACGTCCTCGCCGCCGCCTCTCTCTCCATTCCCCTTTCCTTCCCTGCTCCCGCTCCAATCCACGCTGAAGCTAATCCACGACGCGTGCTTCGCGGATCGCTTTACGGCTAACATGAAGCAGCAGCTGCAGATTCATGCCCTTCCCGTCTCCTTTCTGCTACCCCCTCTCCCCCAGATCCAAGCGACGCTGAAGCAAATCCACGACGCGTGCTTCGCGGAGCTTTTCACGGCCTAGATGAAGCAGCAACTGCAGATTCATGCTCTTCCCCTCTTCCCCGCCTCAACCCCTCCCCTCCCTCCTTCCCCCTTCATTCCCTCTCTCCCCTTTCACTCGACCCAGATCCAAGCCACGCTGAAGCAGATTCACGACGCGAGTTTTGAGGATCTCTTTACGGCCGACATGAAGCAGCAGCTGCAGTCGCTGCAGCAGGACGGCGGGGGCAGCGGGGGCGCGGGCGTGCGGCGCAGCAGCAGCCTGGGCACGCCGTACACGCAGAGCCAGTTCCCCGCGGGGCAGCTGGCGGACGCGCTGGGCATGGACGGCGGGGGCGCGTTCCGCAAGGAGCAGGAGGCGCTGGCGCTGGAGAAGCGCAAGGCCGCGGAGAGCAGGGACAAGGCGCAAGAAGCGCTCATGGATCAGGTCAGTGGGGAGGGGAAAATGGAAAAGGGGAAAATGGAAAAGGAGAAAATGGAAAAGGGGAAAATGGAAAAGGGGAAAGTGGAAAAGGGGAAAGTGGAAAAGGGGAAAGTGGAAAAGGGGAAAGTGGAAAAGGGGAAAGTGGAAAAGGGGAAAGTGGAAAAGGGGAAAGTGGAAAAGGGGAAAGTGGAAAAGGGGAAAGTGGAAAAGGGGAAGTTGAGTGGAGAAAGTGGGTGGGGGAGGGGGAGCTTTGGTGCTGGCGCTGGAGAAGCGCAAAGCCGCGGAGAGCAGAGACAAGCCGCAGAAGGCGCTCATGGGTCCGCTCTGTTGGAGGGGAAGAGGGTGAGGGGGGGTGGAACTGGAGGGAAAGGGGAAGGGTGAAGGGGGTGTGGGGAAGACGCGAAGAGGGAGGTAGAAAATCAGGGATGACGCTGAAGAAGCGCGAGGCTGAGGAGAGCAGAGACAATGCGCAGGATGCACTGATGGATCAGGTCAGTGGAGATAAGGTTGAAAGGGGAGAAGGGGGGAAGAAGAAGTGGAAGAAGCTCCCTCTTTTCCCACCTTGGCCCGTTTTTACACCCTCATTTGGTCCGCCGTTTCCACCCTGTCCAAACCCACCCCCACCCACACCCCAACCTACACTCCTCATCAGCTGATAAGCATCATCAGCTGATAAGCATCATCAGCTGATAACCATTCTGATGCGCATGGAGTGCGAGCTGCCCGCCTTCAAGGAGTCCCAGGCGAAGCCCGCCCCCATATCTCCACCTTCACCGGCTTATACCCCTCCGCCTAATCCACAACCCCACCCTACACCCCTCCACCAGCTGATCACCCTCCTGATGCGCATGGAGCGAGAACTTCCTGCCTTCGAGGAGCCGCAGGCAAAGCTCCCTCACAGCCCCACCTTGACACATTCTCTCCCCTGTGCCTTCACTCCCAACCGCACCCAGCGTGTAGTTAGTCGATTTTTGAGTCGACTCAAAAATCCCCACCTTGGCACATTCTCTCCCCTGTGCCTTCACTCCCAACCACAACCCCAACCCACACCCCCAACCCACACCCCCATCCGCACCCCCAACCCACACCCCCAACCCACACCCCCAACCCACACCCCCAACCGCACCCCCAACCCACACCCTCCACCAGCTGATCACCATTCTGATGCGCATGGAGCGCAAGCTCCCCGCCTTCAAGGCGTCCCAGGCGAAGCTTCCGTACATTCTCATCTTGGCCTGTCCTTTACCCTCCATTCCAACCCTCCTTCCCCCACGCCTGCCCCCGTTCTACCCCCTGCCAGCTGATCACCATCCTGACGCGCATGTTTTGAGACGTCTCAAAACATCTCTTTTATCACGCGCATGGAACGGGAACTCCCAGCTTTCAAGGAGTCCCAGGCGAAGCTCTCCCCCACATTGCCACTCTTGCCCTGGTTTCACCCCTCCCAACCCCCGCCCTTGTCCCCATACCACCCTAATCCTCTTTCAGCTGATCACCATTCTAATGCGCATGGAGCGAGAGCTTCCTGCCTTCAAGGAGTCCCAGGCGAAGCTCGCCCGCGAGAGAGCCTCCGCAGCAGCAGCAGCCAGCTCAGGCGGCGGGCAGCGGGGCAGCAGCGGCCTCTCTGGCACCTCCTCGGTGCCCAAGTCGCCCAAAGAGCTTCTCAGCCCCACCCGCCGCCGCATGATGCTGCTGGCAAACGCTGTGGATGATATGACTGGGGATGCTGCTGGGTTGTCGCTTACTGGGAGCGGCGGGAGCGGGTCGGCCGGTCGGGAACGCCGAAGCAGGCGGTCAGGAGCGGAGGGCGGTGGGGATGCGCATGATAGGTACGATGCACAGACCCAGCAACAGCAGCAGCAGCATTCGCGGTTTAGGGACGGGGAGGGGGATGGGGGCGGGAGGACGGACGACGATCGGCACAAGGACCGGAACAGAGCGGTGCGAGGGGAGAGAGAGCATAGGAGGAGCACCGAGCGGAGGGACCGAGGCAAAGACGAACCTGGTCCGGGCACTGGTATGCCAGGTTCTAAAAGCACTGGGGGGGCAGGCGCAGGCGATGCCCGGTCCAAGTCGCCGTTTGACATGGGCGGCAGGAAGGGCGGCGACGATTTGGAGTATATGGATGACCCGACAAGGGCCCGTACGGGCAGTTCGAGTGGGAGAGAGAAGGATAAGATGGGGAAGACGGGCAGCGGAGGCAGCTCTGCTAGCAGCGTCAGTGGTGGGTCACGCAGCCGATCTAAGACTGGGCGTACTAGCAGCGTGGATAAGCCAGGGGGAAACGGGGATATGGGGGGAATGGGAGGGGAGTTTGGTGGAGAGGGTGGCGGCGGGGCAGGTGCGGAATGTTCCGATCCTGAAGCTGACCTGGCGGCGTATGATCCCGAGGCTCCGCAGCAGATCGTGCAGAATCTGCTGTTTGGGTCGGCGGAGGAGAAGGGCCGGGCGGCGGGGCTCGTTGGATGGTATGCATCGATCTCAGCTGCAAACCGATCGACTTTCCGAGAAGCTGGTGCTGTAGACGCCCTGCTGCCGCTGGCTGTAGGTGGGCCACGGGACCCGAAGGGAGCCGAATCTGCGCTTGCCGCTCTGCTAAACCTCTCGTCTGATGAGATGGGGAAGCAGGAGCTGCTCACTCACCTCCCGCTGCTGATTCAGGCGCTCAAACGCGCGGATTTCTCCTCTGCAGCAGGCTCATCTGCAGCCAATGTAATGAAATGTGCCGCGTCCTTTTCGGACCGCGCCCGGGGGCTGGTTATCGATGCAGGAGCGGTCCCACCACTGGTGAAGCAGCTTACCGGATCGAACCACGAAGGGATGCATCCAGGGTATGATACGCCGTCCAGGCAAGCCGCAGCAGAGACTGTCGCGTGTCTCGCTCAGTGCGAGTCTCAGCGGAGCAAACTGGTGGGAGAAGGCGTGATTCCAGCCCTGGCGGTGGCCCTACAGGCGAATCTGAACAACGAAACAGTGGTCGCCACGTGTCAAGCGCTGTCTCGGCTGGCGACTGTGCCGGACGGGAGGGAGGCGATGGGCGAGGCGATCCCGTCGCTGGTAACCGTGTTACGGCTGGATTATCCTGCGGCGGTGAGGGATGCGGTGGAGGCGCTGCTGCAGCTGGCGAAGCACAGCCCGACGCACAGAAGCAATATTAGGAACAGCGGAGGCATGCGGTACTTGCGAAACGTGTTGCGATCAGGCCCACCCACGCTCCATCCAAAGGTACGTGTGTAGTTGTTATTTTTGAGGCGCGTCAACGCAACCCGACGCAGAGAAGCAATATTCGGAACAGCAGAGGCATGCAGTATCTGCGGAATGTGTTGCGATCGGGCCCACCCACTCTCCATCCAAAGGTGCGTTTGTAGTTGTGATTAGTCGCTTGCTTTTGATTGTTGCTAGTCTTTCAAATTGTTGTGTGTTTTTGCTGGTTTGTTTATTTATTGATCGTGTTCTTGCTGACCGAGGCTGCAATGTTCCTTGTTGCGGTGTGCTTTTGGTTGATGACCGACTGAAATGTTTGGGTTGTGAGCTGGGATGGGATGGCGTCTGTTTGTTGGATGTGCCTGCTTTGCTCGTATTTGTCGAATTTCCAGGCAATGGAGCTTTTGGCAGCACTTTTCTCCTAACTGATTTGGCTAGGGCAATGTGCATTATTATCGTCACTTGACTTCTAGCCATATCTTGCCTGACATGTGGCCACAGTTTTGTGTGCGTCTAGACACGCCAGGAGTCACTCCCTGCTTTGAAGGGGCACTCCCTGTCTAGAATGTGCAGTCCAGATTCTAGTAGGGTGAAGGGAAATCCTATGATGTACAATTCGTTAGCGCTCCTCTAAACATTTTTACACTCTTGTACCGATGTCGGGGATTCTGGAAACGCAACACCTAATTGCGATAACGACGGCAGCCAGCAAACAACCAGGATGACGACCAAGAGGTCCGGAATCGGTATGGTAGAAGGTATATAGATTCAGTTCGGTCTAGTGTGGTGGTCAGTGGTGTATCTCTGACATGACACTTCTCGCACGCTTGATTGTGTTGGCTGAGATTCTGCCGTTCCGACTAACTAAGGCTCCCTAGAAACTATTTTGAGCTCTTGATAATACCTCATGGTCAACCAGACCAGATCGTGCTTCCACTCCTGTCCTGTCTCATTTGTTTCTCATTAGCGTGTGAGTGAAGTTCTCTACTCTCGTTGTCGTCGCTGTTCTGTAGCTCCATCAGCGTTCAAGTTCCAGATGTTCAAGTTCCAGCTACAAGGGGAAAGCGAGTATGCATTGTAGCCTGGCTGGTTCCGTGAGAAAACAGCCTGGCGATTCGAGACGAAAACACCAGCGCTCACTCTGAACGAGGAGCCGTCTTCAGCGTGACACGATCGTGCGACACGCCTTCTTGCTTTATGGGCTGCATGCACGAGATTCTTGAGCCGACTCGATATCCTTTTCCTCCAAAGGGGAAACTATCGCGATGTAGCAACTACGCTCGAACCCTTGACAGGTTCGCAATCATGGTGATGAACATGTCACATCGAAGTAGTTATGTGTTCCAGACTAGTGATGTCACATCACTTCTTGGGGCAAACGTTTTTAAGCGCGAAGAGGTTTCGCTCAGGTTGACGTGACATTTTCGCCGTCAGGCGGCATCAAATCAGTCTCGTTCATTGCAAGCCTCGGCGGTATTGGCTGTCGCGGCAACAGTCGTGTCGACAGGTAGACGTGACAGACGCCAAGCTGAACTCATCTCCATTCTTCAACGCGGCTCATTCAGTTCTTGTCGTGGCTATATAAATGGACTCGTAGCGTTTAAGTCAGCAGGTCACAGATTCGAAGCCTGAGTTTTGCATTGAAGTGCTAAGCTGACGAAGATGGCGTTGCTTAAGTCGCTCACTGGGCCGACTGCGCTAATCCTTTGCGTGCTGATCTCGTCAGGTGACTTGACGCCAACTACTTGTGCAATCCTGTAACTCTGGGTTTGTTGCTTTCGTCGGTTGTCATACAATTTTTGTCTAGCAGCCACTCCTTTTGAGACGTCTCAAAAAGCTCTCGTCAGTTGTCATACACTCTTTGTCTAGCAGCCACTCCTTGACCTTGCATCAGGTCGCTAGTCACGAATGCACTGTGTGCGAGCCTGGTTGAATCCAAGCTTCTATGAGCATATTCCCCTTCCAAATCTTATGAATCTTCAACCTTGGTTGGTCGCAGGATCAACCATGGCGCTGGCATCTCGTGGCAAGGCGCTGGGAATCCACGGAACCGCACAAGATGCTCGTGAAACTCATGCCGGTTCGCTTGTCAGGCACCGCACTCTGAGCGACTCCAATACAGAAGAGCCCCTGCCATAGGTTCCGCTCAACTCTTCCTCTAACAATGGGCTTATCAGTGGCAGCGGTGGAAATCAGTCAATTTCCACCAGCGCGGCTTCATTCTCCCGCCTTGGATGGCCATCACCTCCCAATACACCGTTGTCACCACCACTGCCTCCATTGCCATCATTGCCCACATCTTTGCCATCATTTCCATCTGTCAACAACCCTCTGTCAGGCGTCTGGTCTTTCTTGGCTGGATTTTTCCACCACGGAGGGCCGTCTCCTCCCAGTCCACCCCCTGTCGCACTCACCTCACCAGTATCATCACCACCATCACCGCCATCACTGCAGCCACCATGTGTGAACCAACCACTTTCAGGCTTCTGGTCTCTTCCGTCTCCCTTTCTTCGCATTGGCGGCAGCAACAGCTGCAATGGTGACAGCAGCAGCGGTGGTGTTGGTGGGGAGGCAGCGTCAACAGCGGCGGCGCCCGCATCGGCGGCGGCGGCAGCACTAGCGGCCGCGGCGGGGCGTGTTGGTGGGGAAGTGGGGGAGGAGGCAGCGACACTGGCAGGACGCGGTGGTAGTGGCTTTGAAAGTGGCGACTCTGGCCTCAGTGTTGCTGCTTTCCCTTACACCGGGTTGAATGGACACAATGCCAGCAGTAGGGCCAGTCAGGCCAGTCGTGCCAGTCGTGCTAGCCACGCCAGCCGTGCCAGCCGCACTAGCCGTGCCAGCCGCGTTCGCAGGAATGCACACCCCAGCCGCCTCAATTGATCGGAGATTTAAAATGCAAGTTCGACATTTCTGCAAGATGTTTTTTTCGTCTATAAGGTTCTCTTGCCGTTTATGGAAGAGTTTTGATTGGACTGCCTCAAATGGAGTTGGACTAAATACAATTCTCCACAAACCTAAAACTCCTACCACTTGTAAGTTGTCATCTCCTACCATTTGTAGCCGTGGAATACACGAGATGAGACCCATCATTGACGCCCTGGATTATGTCGCGAAAATCCAAGAATGCTGGGTCTGCTATGACAGGCACATCAACTGGGGCATTTCTACGGTCAGTAGGGTTTCGTACGTTCCTGATTGACAATGGGTTTCGGTATGATAAATTCGTTTATGGCTTGTTGTGCTTTCGCTCACTCCCGAACCTACAGTGGAAAGTCCCATTGAGTTTGGCTTGTTCACTCGGTAGCCAATCATATGCTTGCTAGAAGCCCACCGCCAGGTCCCCCGGATTTGTCCACGAAGCTCGAAATCCTCAACAAGAGGATGCGATGCGAGCAAGAGGAACAGAAACATTGGTGCCACGTCGGTGCTTGCGACGAATGCTCACGACTTCCCTGATCCTTCTCCTTCGTCAGTCTGGTCGTACATCACATCGCCAGTCGCTGCCGTCTTGTCGCAGTGCCAATCCATCCTCCAGGCCAAATCCATTTTCCCTGAGATTGCGCTGAAGGGGTGATCAAAGTACTGCACCAGTCCATCCGGGCCCTGGTGGGACGGTTTTCACCACGGCCCCCTCTTGGTGGAAACGTTCCACCAGGGCCACACGCAGATGCACGACCTGTCGCGACCCCCAGCTGGCTGACGCACGTGAGCGGGAGTCCCGCGCCCGGCTGCAGGTCCCTAGCGAGATACGGGCGGCGGAGGCGGGGTGGTCCCGCGCCGAGCCCGGGACACGCCAGCGCCACACAGTGTGGTCCCAACCCCGCCCCCCCCCCCCTAACCCAGCCCTGGCTCGCGAAACCCCTCGCTCTCCAATCCGAGGTCGAGGGCCGTGTCAAATATTATAGCCTGTAGTGGGTTGGGCTATATGGGGTACAACTAGTTAGGGTTAGGTTATGTACCCCAATTCTGTCAATGCAACACATTCCGCTGTAGTTCTCATTCTGACATGGTATCAGCAGTAGGTTAGCGCTCCTAGCCCTAGGCCCGCCCGTCCCTACCATTAGGGTTACCACTGCGCCCCGCCAGCCCGCCAGCGCCCTACCCCACGCCCCAGCCGGCGCGCCCCTCCCCTCCCCGCCCTTAGCCAGCGCGCACGCCAGCCAGCCAGCGCGCCAGCCAGCCAGCCCGCCGGCCAGCCTGCGCGCCAGCCCGCTTGCACGCCAGCCCGCCAGCGCGCCCGCCAGCGGGCACACCAGCGAGCCCGCCAGCTCGCCTGCCAGCGCGCCCGCCAGCGAGCTCGCCAGCGCGCCCGCCAGCGAGCCCGCCAGCGCGCCCGCCAGCACGCACGCCAGCACGCCCGCTAGCGCGCCCGCCAGCGCCCCGCGCCAGCGGGCCTCGCCGGCGCGCACGCTAGCGCGCCGCGCCCGCGCGCCACGCCAGCCAGCGCGCCCCGCCAGCGCGCGCCCCGCCGCCCCGCGCCCAGCCAGAACGCGCCCCGCCTGCGCGCACCCGCCTCGCACTCACCTCCCTCTCCTCCTCCTCTCGCGGCTGGCGGCCGCTATCACTTGTTCTCGCCCCTCATGGCGACGTCTCGCGTGCTCCGTTTCGACCCTGAGGGGCGCGCGATCGACTTTAGTACCTGGCTGACGCAGGCCCAGCGCCACCTTAGGAGCCAGCGCCAGGATGGCGTGCACCTGTTTGCGCATGCGTCCGGTGCTCTGCCCGCCCCGCCGCAGCCTACACCGCTGCCCACTACCCCACCGCCTACTTCCGAGCAGGAGGCTGAGTACCAGCGCCGGTTCCTCGCTCGTGACGTGTGGGAGTCTCGTGACGCTGCTGCCTGCCTCGCCCTGACCGACCTTCTCCCGCCGACTGAGGCCGTCCACTTCACTCAGGTCGAGTCTGCTGCAGCCCTTTACACTGCTATTGTTGCTCGCTACTCCACTCCCTCCTCTGCCTCCCTCAGCCGCCTTCTCGTCCCCTTTATCTACCCTGACCTCGCCTCCTTTGAGACTGTCGCTGACCTCGCTACCCACCTGCGCTCCCTTGAAGCTCGCTTCAAGGCCGCTTGCACTGAGGAACAGCTTGCCCTTGCACCCCCCCCCATGTGGCTCACTATTCACTGGTTAGTCACTCGCCTCCCTGACCGTCTAGCCACAGCCCGCGACGCGCTTCTCCTGAAGCACCCCACTGAGCTTACTATCGATCTTCTTGAGACCGCTCTCTCGAAGATCGAGAGTAACCTCCTCGCTGTTGCCTCCGCCTCTTCCGCGCCTCCTCCTCGTCTCTTTGAGGGGTGTGCGGTACCACAGCTTCCCACCTTCACTGCCTCGCTTGCCACTGCCGCGTCTTCTGCCTCTGAGGAGACGGCGGCCGTTTCTGTCTCTGGCGGACAGAAACGTGGCAAGTCCGGCAAGAAGGGAGG